GGTGCTCGGCCGGGGGCTGGGCCGGCACCCCAGGGCCCGAGCCGAGCTAGGCTAGAGACGCCGGGGCCCCGGGCCTCCTCCCCCCACCCCCTAGCTTACCTGCTTCCCGCGAATCAAATGTTCGCGGGAAGCAGGGGAGGGGGCGGAGTTGGGGCGGGGACTTTGCGGAAGGGGTGGAGTTGGGGCGGGGGCGGGGCTGGAGGCGGGGCCAGGGCCCCGTGGAGTGTCCTCCTTTTGGACACTCCACATATGGTAACCCTAATATATTAAGTTATGAATAACTGGGCAAGTTACTAGATAAGTGATTTACAATGGCAGAAATAATCCAAATTTGAATAAGAGCAAGTTTCATATAAAAGAGCTTCAACTAAAGTGAGGTTTTACTGAATTTGGGGGAAAAAAGCAAATTCGAGTGATTACAGAATTTGGAAATCACTACAATATTTGCCAGATTTAAATTAAATTTAAATTAAAAACATTTTATCAATAGACAAGAATGACAAATATTTAGAAAATGGGTGCTGGCCATCTCAGCTGGTAGAGGATTGCAGAAAACGACCTGGAAGGTGGTGGACTATACCCTCTGGAGTGATGCCATGTTACCTGCAGTCCTTCCTTTATCAGTTAGCTGGTAGTGGCTAAAAGGCAGCACTGGGCCTCTTTCTGCTCTGTCTATACATATATCCCTCCACTCCTCCCTTATAATTTAAAAATGGCTGAGTGGACAGTGTTAAATTTCATTTGTGCTTTTGTTTGTACGGACTTATGAGTTATGTGTCAGGTTCTCAAATGATTTGACGGAATTACTGATTTGCTGTATGTACCTTTTGCATTTATACAGGCACAATCTACTCACTGAATGAGCTCAGCTGTCGCTTTTCATTTAATGCATGGTTTGTTTCACAAGATCTATACTTTGGTAATTTGTCCTGGCAGCAGATGCTACAGGGTCAGATCTGTGAGTGTGCATGGGAAAGAGTCTCTCGAACACATAGTGGTAGAGATAAGGGTGTAATGCCCATCAACTCACCTTGTGTGCCAAAATGTGTTTCAGCCACAAAGTTAAGCAAGTTCTTGTGGTGAATTTTAGCCTTTCCTCATGCAGTAGTCTGCACAGGGCTGCAGACCTTGGTTAGGCCCTTGAATTGTGCAGGGCCATCAAGACCTTGGGTGAAAGCATACTGTTTTGACTTCTTGTTTGGGATTAGAAAATCAAAATGGATGAAGAGGGGTGACAGATCCAGGTACCCCTTGCCTTTTCCTTGCTGCCAGGACAGGTTGCGTTTAGGAATTTGTTGTTTAAAGTTGTAAGAAAATTACAGCTACTTGGCCAAAAATCTAATGCTTGGTGTTTACTAGCCCCCACCATTCACAAATCTGTAATAGCAGCTTACCTGTGCAGTAATATCCCAACCATCTTCCAAACAAACCATAACTGAAGAACCATTCTCAAGGAGCTCTGATATCACCACACCCAACTGCATTATCCTGTGAAGCTACAGAATATAAAAAAATAAGTAACATACTAAGAGTGCAGAATTAATCTGTTAATATTGCCGAATGCTTATAGATTCATATCATACCATACCATTCATGATTTAAACTATAAACATAAAATATATTAAATACATTTTCTCTCTCTCTCTCTCTCTCTCTAAATAAATATGAAACCATTTATTTATTTAGGAAGTTTTAACAGGTTTACAAATCCTTGCCAGGTAAAGATCAGAGACAAAACAATAATCATTATATCAGTGAAACACAGTAAGATAATCACCGTATCATTCTATTTAACAGGATGTTACCATATTATTGAGTAAGCATCTTTATACTACCCATAGCATATTTCCAGTGATTTTATTAAATTGCGTGAAATCTCTGATCATGCATATTTAACAAATCCGCTGTCTGTCAAATGTTAATATTCAAAAAAGTTACACATGTGTGCTGTTTTTTCTGCAGGTGAGTGTACTCTGTGTATTGAATAAATGATAACCAAATATTTAAGTCTATATTTGTTGTCTGTCTATTTTACTGGGTACGTAACTGATGAGTTAATTTTTCTTTAACAATATCTACAGAGAACATTGATTGTTCAAACTCTTCAGAATTTTAAATTTATTCATTTAGAAAGCAAGTTTCTGTTTTATGGAAATAGATCAAATCTTTTTTCTCTTATATTTTGTTTTTGGCCAGGCTGGCTGGGATGTGGGCAAGTATATGCTCAAGTATTCATTATGGTACTAGTCCTACAAACACTTAAGCACAGTTGTAACTTTACCCCCATGAACAGTCCTATTGATTTCAGTGTGACTTCTGATGGGATTATATTTACATGTGTGCTGAAAAGTGTTTGTAGGATTGGAGTCTCTTTCTTGTTATCAAGCTCATATTTTGTGAACATTTTCCTGATTTATGTAATGAATAACAATTTTATTCCTAAAAATGAGAAAGTCTCTGTTTTTAGTTTCTACCATTTGTATGGTGTATGGTAATCCAAGATCAAATGTCACAGTAGAACACATTTGTGTAATGTAGGCCGAACATGGCTATTTCAGTTTTCAACAGTAGGAGGAAACCCATTGCGTGTTGTATTGGACACAATCCAATCAAGGTTAAGATTAACAGTGAAAAGTCTCAAAGCTTGAAAGTGAGGAATGAAAAAGATGTTGACTGTGTTACAGGAAAGAAAGCAATGTAGGTGCAAAGACACAATATAAGACAAATCTAGGATGTAAAAAAAAAAAATAGTATCAGCTGCGAAAGGAGAGTACAAGAGAGAGGACTCAGGGAGAACGGAGGGAAGGTGGAGAAAGAAAGTAAAAGACAGAGTCTGCCTTAGAGACTCCCAAACAAGACATAACTTTAGAAAATTCATCTTTCGTCTTCTGAGCCTTTATTAAATAGCATTTATTTTGTTACCACAAGATGTAAAAGGGAAAAACACTTATACTACAGAAGTATTTAAACTACTTATGATACATAAATACAAAACTGTTACTTACTTCCTTGTAATTATTGTTTGAGATGCGTTGTATGTCTATTCCACTGTAAGAGTGTATTCATCTCATGCATGGGTGCTGGAGAGTTTTCCCTAGCAGTACCTGTAGGGGCAGCTAAACACGCATCTTAGCTTCCCTCTGATCGGAGCCCAGGGATATAACGGGTGGGACAGCCCTACCCCTCCTTTAGTTTTTTCATACCAGAATCTTAGATGATAGAATCTGATGAGTTGGGGCTGTAGGACTGCTTTCCCCACATTCACATCATCCTGTGATGCTGCAGTAATTGCATAATGGCTAGCAAAGGTATGTACAGAGGACCACATCACCACTCTACAAATGTTAACAATAGGAACATTTAAAGAAGGGGGAAAAGGAGGAGCCAGGGAACTATAGACCAGTCAGCCTGACTTTGCTCTAGTAGCTTCCCAGGTATCAATGTATAAAACATTCAAGTTGTGAATACCTGGAGGATGAAGGGCTAATCACTAGCAGCCAGCATGGATTTACAAAGAACAAATCATGCCAAACCAACTTGATTTCCTTCTTTGACAGGGTAATTGGTTTGGTCAATAGGGAGAATGTGGTAGAATATACTATACCTGGACTTCAGCAAGGCTTTTGACACAGTCCCGCATGACATGCTGATAAGTAAGCTGGAGAAATGCAGGCTCAGCAGAACTACCATTAAGTGGATACATAATTGGTTAAAGAACTGCAAACAAAGAGTAACTATTAATGGAAAGATGTCAGATTGGAGCGGGGTCTCAAGTGGGATCCCACGGGAATCTGTTCTGGGTCTGGTGGTGTTTAATATCTTTATTAAGGGCCTGGATGTAGGAATAGAGAGAAAACTGATCAAATTTGCAGATGACACAAAACTAGGGGACTATAGAGTTAAAATTCAGAGGGATCTTGATAAATTGGAGAATTGGGCTATAGACGACAAAATGAAATTCAACTAAGATAATTGTAAGGTGCTACACTTAGAGAAGAAAAACCAAATGTACAAATACAGAATGGGGGATAATTGGCTTAACAGCCGCACTGCTGAGAAGGATCTGCGAGTTGTGGTGGGTCACAACCTCAACATGAGTCAGCAATGCGATGATGTTACAAAAAAGCAAATGCACTTTTAGGTTACATTAACAGAGGCCTAGCATGCAAGTCACGGGAGATGATAGTACCACTCTACTGGGCAGGCCTCAGCTGGAACACTGTGTCCAATTTTGATCACCAATGTATATAAAGGATGTAGAGAATCTGGAAAGGATCCAGAGGCAAGCAACAAAGATGATCAAAGGGATGGAATGCAAGCCATATGAGCAAATGCTGAAGGAACTGAGTATGTTTTGTTTGGAAAAGAGGAGATTAAGGGGGGACATGATAGTGGTTCTCAAATATTTGAAAGGCTGCCATAAAAAAGATGGAGAAAAGTTGCTCTCTCTTGCCAGAGAAGGCAGGACAAGAGGCAATAGGTTCAAATTACAGCATAGCAAATTTAGATTAAATCTCAGGAAAAACTTCCTACTGTTCTTACAATAGGACAATGGAAGAGGCTGCCTAGGGAGGTTGTGGAAGCTCCTTCACTGGAAGTTTTCAAGAAGAGGCTGAATAGCCATCTGTCTTGGATGGTTTAGACACAACAAATCCTGCATCTTGGCAGAGGGTTAGACTAGATGACCCTTACAGTCCCTCCTAACCTTATGATTCCCATGACAGCAGAAGCCAAATGTGCCCTAATTGAATGTGCTGACAATTTCACAGGAGGCATCAAACTTCAGCAGTATAGACCATAGCAATGCAGCTAGCAATCCATTTAAAAAGAGTTGTTGTGCCAGTACAAGAGGATCTCTCATTCTTTCCACATAGGAAACAAAGAGTTGGGAAGAAAGGGCTTAGTGCTATTTAGGTAAACTTGGCATACATCTAGAGTATACAGCTTTTGTTCATCTTCATGAGCACGTGACTTACGGTAAAAAAAGACCAGTAAGTATATTGGCTGATTTAGGAGACAGTCAGATAGTACCTTGGATAGGAATTTAGGATGAGGCCTAAGCTGCACCCACTTCTTGTATCTTATTTATAACATTTCCTGTTTTGCTGAGCTGAAACCAGATCCACTGTAGGAATTCCCTGCACCCAAAGTACTGACCTTACTACTCTTGGGTTGAGACACCACTCGTGATCAAGGCTGAATGATCTGCTTAGCTGGTCTGCCAGGCAATTCTGAACTCCCTGCAGGTGTGAGGCCTTGAGAGTTATAGAGTTCTATATACAAAAATTTCACAGCTTTACAGCCCCCTGACAAAAGTTGTTTGACCTGATAACCCCTTGCTTGTTTATGTAAAACATAGCTGTGGTGTTGTCAAGTGAGCACCTGTGTAGTCTTGCCCTGATTGTATGGCAGGAACTGCTGTTACTTTTGAAATATTGCATGCAATTCAAGAACATTTATGTGTAGTTTGACCTTATGAATGGACCACATGCCCTGAGCTTGCAGATCCCACAAATGAGCTCTCCAGCCCAAAGAAGTAGTATCCATTACCAAAATCACAGAGGAGACAGTTGGTAAGAATAGGACCTCCACTGCACACATTGTTCTGGTCCATCCACCAATCCGGGGATGATGACATTCTGGCTGTGATGCATACCAATTTGTACAGATGGTGTATGTGAGGGCAGTAGCCTGACTTTAGCCATGTCTGCATACCCCAGAGATGGATCCCAGTATGTTGGGTCACATATGTACAGGAAGACATGCACCATACAAGCTTGAGGCAGCTCTGTATTGTGGTTTGTGGTTGTTCTCTGAATGCTGCACAGAGGTCCTGTGTAGCCAGAAACCTTGGTTGGGGAAGATAAGCCCTGAGTGAAGTTGAGTCTAGGGCTGCACCAATAAACTCTTATTTGAAATGGAGATTAAACTGATTTTTCTGTTTATTATCAGGCCTAAGCAGCTGAACAAATGGAGGATTTGATATATGCTGCTGGAGCAGCCCTGTACCAACCTCAGAAACCTTCTGTGGCCAGGGTGGATTGCCACACAGAAAAAGGCATCTGTAAGATAAGGGCAGCATACCAATCACCTGGATATAGAGAAGTATAATTGACACAATGGAAACCATGTGGAACTTCAACTTTTTGATGTATCTATTCAGGTTTTGAAGGTCTAGAATAGGCCCGAGAACCCCTCTTGCTTTGGCTATTAGGGAAATACCGGGAATAAAACCCCATGCCTTGATGCAGACAAGGCACTTCCTCTGTAGCTCCAAAGGAATGTAGAGTCTGAACTTGTTTTAGAACAGACTCATGACATGGGTCCCTGAAAAGGGACAGATGGTGGGGGAGGAAATAGAAGGAAACTGCAGGATATATATGCTGAGTCCATCGTGCTTAGTACTCACTTGTCTGAAGTGATGGTTTGCTATGCCTGTAGGACATGGAATAACTTGCTCCCAAAGGAAGGGAAAGGAACACGGAAATCCGAGCTGGTAGATGTGCTGTTCTTGACAGAGGAGTAAAACGTTGCTCCAAGGTCTGAGGTTGCCTGGAAAAAGCAACTGAGGAAGCAGAAGGCGGAGGCCTCCTCCTCTGTGCTCTGTGGTTGCATCTAGACTGTAACCATGATGAATGGTGCATAGTTACTGCCATCATCATGACCCTCACAGCAGAGTCTGCTGCGTCCAAGGAAGCCTTCAGGACCAATCAAGAGACCAGATGACCTTCTGCTAAGATGGATTGGAATTCATCCCTAGAGTCTTCTGGCAACTTATTTATAAATTTAGACATTGCCTCCCAAGTCAACAGGGCATGGTGGCTGACAATTCTAAGTTGTAATCAGCAGCTGAATAAAACTTCCATCTAAAAAAGTCTAGCTTTTTTGCATCCTTTTCTTTTGGGGTAGCCTTAGCCTGACTTTGGCGATGCTTTTCATTTACTCCAGCTACCACCAGTGAACCTGGTACAGGATGTGACTAAAACTGTTCAAAACCTTGGGAAGGAACCTGATATTTCACTAGGTATGCTTGGCTACAGGGGATAAAGAGAATGAAGTTTGCTGGAGTGACTTAATAGGCTGCATTATTGCCTAGTTTAGAGGGACGGCTCCCTTCCCTGCTTGTAGTTGGGTGTACAATATAAACAAGTTTGTGAAGATTTTCCTCCATCTGAATACCATCAGATTCTCAATGACATCCTGGACTCTTTACAGTGGGAAGTGTAAGAACCCACTTCTGATTCTGATTAGGAGTACGAGTACTCTGAAGACCAGGGTGGAGCAGCACTGGGAAGAGTCACTGGAGACTGCTACCAAGACAACAGAGCTGGTGGCAGCATTAGTGTCTTTCAAGCTATTGGTACCAAACGTTGTTGAATATGTATTGGAGGCCTAGATACCATTGCTGACAATGCTGACAAGACGGTACCATCCCTGAGACCAAGGGCATTGAAGCAGACACTAATGCTAGTGCCAAAGTCTGCCCAGTTTGCACTGATACTGATAGAGGACCTTGCCCTAGAGTAAATGGGGAATCCAGTACTGAAAGACAGCTGCATAGGCCTCTGGCATTGTTGATACTAAGGGCAGGTCTGCCCTAGTAGCACTACATCGATGCAACTGCATCGCTATAGTGTGTCTAGTGAAGACGTTCTATGCCAATGGGAGAGCGCTCTCCTGTCGGCATAATTGCTTCACCTCCGCGAGAGATGGAAGCGCATCTCCCGCTGACATAGCACCGGTGTAGACAGCGTTTACATGCTGTAACTTGCATCGCTCAGGGGGGTGGCTTTTTCACACCCATGAGCGACATAAGTTACATCAACTCAAGCGGTAGCGTAGACCTGCCCTAAGAGAGGAGGTTGTATGACACTCAGAAGAGGTGCTGGATCCTTCACAGTCCCTGAAGACAGCAGCCTATCTCCATGGTCCCATAGTAAGCACTGGAGCCAACAACTCCAGTCTATGACAGCCATTATGAGATGGGTCCCAGGCTGAGGCTAGCCAGAGGGCACTTGTGCTTCCTTAGAGACAGCTCTGGTGAAGATTTCTGTCAGATGGCAAGGCTGAGGGGAGCACTCGTTGAAGGAGTGCTGGATGAGCTCCCCTGCAGAGACCAAATGGGATCTGATGCCAGGCAAAGAGTGGATTCCAAGCAATAGTGTTGAAGGTGCACTTCTCTCTGCTTCTTCGTCCTTGATTTAAATCTGTGGCAGATCGGACACTGGTTCCTTATGTGGTCCTCAGCCAAGCATCTCAAACAGTGAGAGTGAGGGGTATTAATGGGCATCGCCTGTGACACCTGGACCAAGGTTTGAAGCCAGGAGATCTTGGCATAAGCTCTCCTACTACTGAGACAAAGTTTGCTTGCACAAACTAGTACAATTAGATATTGAAACAAAATAAAATAAAATAAAATAAAATAAAGAAAAGTCCAAATGGATGAATGACTACCACTAAACACTATGAACTATAACAAAGTATATGCAGGGTTTTTGTTTTCTATAATGACAAGAGGGCGTACTAAATGCATAACAACAATGTCCAACCACCGACATTAAGAAGGAACTGAGGGGGGTGGCTCCACCCTTTATACCTTGGCTCTAGGCACAAGGAAAGGCAGGATGCATGCATGACTGCCCCATAGGTACGCTAGGAAAAACTCTCCACACCAGTGCACATACCTACAGTGGAATAGGTGTATGGAATCACTCTAAGAGGATTAAAAAGTATATTCATGCTCATTATAAATGCCCAAATTCTTTCAATGCTCACATAGTCATTAAGGATTTAGAAAATTGTAATTATAACTGTAATTGCAACTGAAACGTGTAATAGATACAATTGAACAGCCATCAAACAATCGGGGGGAGGGATAGCTCAGTGGTTTGAGCATTGGCCTGCTAAACCCAGGGTTGTGAGTTCAATCCTTGAGGGGGCCACTTAGGGATCTGGGGCAAAAATCAGTACTTGGTCCTGCTAGTGAAGGCAGGGGGCTGGACTCAATGACCTTTCAAGGTCCCTTCCAGTTCTAGGAGATAAATAAATAAATGGAGATATCCTAAGTATTAGGGTAGCTGTCTGGAAGCCTACGTTATCTTTCAAATAAAAGGAGCCACACGGCAAGCTGAATATATTTAAATGAAAGCACAACATTATTACTTTAAATTTCTTAATTTGAATCTAATGTGCATTATGCTAATTTAATAAAATACTGTAGTACACTTCATTTTTTCTTATTTATGTACTTCCATTTAAAGAATCATTCAACCTTTTAAAACAGGATTAAAACACAAACTGTGTAATTTATTTCTCTCTTCTCCAGCCGAGGAAAATCCTGTATACTAAAAAACAAATCTACAGGATGAAGATCTGAGTTTTCTCATACGCATGGTCTAAAAAATGGCAAATTAAATATAAACTAACATTAGCTTTCCAGTTTGTATTTATAACCATACTGTATATATTTTTAGTTTAGCACCATGAAAATGTCTTAATACTGAATTAGGGCTAATGTGTGACATTATGATCTAGTCCAAAGCAAGAGAAGCACATCGTTGTTGTGCACCTGGAGCACTGCTGAAGGGACACTGTGACTCACACAATCTCCCTATCTCCCTGCTTCTTCAAGGAGGGAACATGCTCTGACAAATCTATATCCAGTGTACTGCATATGCACCCCAACATGCTGGTGTAACTATGCTACTGAGCATGTTGGCAGGGTGGAGGAGTCAAGGCTCCACCCTTTCCCACATTTTCACCCATCTGAGCAAGGGGGTGGACGCAGCAGCTCTATGAAGCCAACTATCTCCCATACATTGGAAGTGCTGGTATAGTGCAAAAACACAAGGGAGTAAGGAGGTGTAAGGAATCCCCCCGTGCACTGCTATACAGGACAGGCAAAAATATAGGCCTTGGTGTTTAATTTCCAGAGCTACTGCATTATTCACTCTTTATCTGTTTAGTGCAAGTGTTCTCCTTGAGAGGCTATCATAATAAAAAGGATCTATCCTGTTTTATTATATTTTTAAGAGTATTTGTTCAACAATAGCTTCTTAACATAACATCTAGTTGTCCAAAAATGTTCATACTTATTATGATTTACAAAGAGCTTAATTTACCACAACCCCACTCACTTGAATCCTGCAAAAGACATCCCTAATCATATTTTTATTTGGTTAATCTCTGTGTGAATGTGTGTGGGAAGAGGAAGGAAAGGGAGAGATTAGTAGAGAATTTCTCAAAATACCAATTGCACTGAAGGACTTTTATATGAGAGCTTCTCCATGTTTGACTATGAATAACTCACAGATAGACTAGTTTATCTATTAAATGAAGGTATATACAGAAATGCAGAATTAGCACACAGCGATGAGATGTGATGAGATATGAAGAATGGGTGTACGAGTTAAAATAAAATAGTCAATTTATTATTCACTTTGCATAGTTATTTCATTGTTCTACATTTGTATTTTTATCTAACTTTAATAGGAAACAGAAGAATTAAACTTTATGCAATCAAGGCCATAAAAATTAATATAGACAGTAAAAAAGCTAATTTGTATTCTGGCATTTTGTTCCACATTATAAGGGACAATGAATTACACTGTCTAGTTGTCAAATATATCTCACATCAGTAACTCCTAATGCTGTATTAAACTAATAGTTAATGTCTATATAATGATATAACTGATTTCATGCAATGTAATTACAAGGAACAAAGAGAAAGGTTTGTTAGTTAGAACAACACATATTTCTCTGTCAGCAGAGATCAGAATTTATTCTGGGTAAACAGTACTACATATAAATTTTAGAAGCATCTGCCATATGAATTACCTGTGGGAACCACTCTGATTCACCAAGTGCCTTAAGGAATGTTACTTCAGAATCGGTAGGAATAGTACTGGGAACACAAACCCTCATCATCTTTTTAAAACTAGTTTTCACCTGTCGGATGTCACTGAACTCAACAGCAACAAATTCACAATTCAAAGCAAAATCAAGTTTGAAGCCCTGTGGATGAATAAGACAATGACACGTTATTCATCGGACAAGCATATTCTTCATGCAAAGTATCTATGTGAGAAAAGATGCTTTCAAAGATATTGCTTTAATGCTAAGAATTTCCAAACACAATTTACATTTCATTTTTTCCATAAGAAAAGAAAAGAAACAGCCTAGAACAAAATGATTCTTACAAACCCCTTGCAAAAGATACCAAAATATACTCCCTCCATCCACCACCTGCAATAAAAATGGATGTTAGATACTTCTATTCTATTCTATGTGAATAGTAAGATAAAGTTGGCATTTAGTAGACCTTCCTAACTCTTTTGAAATGACATTGGACTTCTGTGAACAGTTACAGTATCATTAAAAAATAAAATTATTATTTGATAAATATGAACTCAAGAGCTTGATGCTTGATTATAAAGTAATTGTTTCAATCGGAATGGGCAATTAATACTTTTTATTTATTAAGTTCAATTGAAGGTTTTGACTTAAATCACCAAAGACAAGAGAATTTAATGGTAGATGATTGTCTGTTAGAATACCTAGACATATCACTTCTAACTGATGGTATGCAAGATTATCTACTTTTCTTGGACTCTTCTGATAGAAAAGCCCAAGACCTGTAGTGTGGAGGTACAGAGCACATCTGCAATAATAGTAATTGGTATTTATAAAGCACTTTCCAGCTTCAAATTACTGATGGGGAATTTGAAGAAAAGACATTTTTTGTCAAAGGCTACAAAGAGACTAAGTATCCAAACCAGAATTAATATTCAGAAGTTCCTAGGTCCTAGTCCTGCCCTCACACCACAATTCTCTCTCAATATATAAACATTGAGTTTTCTCTCAATATGATCTAAAATGTGTGAGTAATAAAGCTTAGGGTTCGGGAGTGGGACATATTGGTAAGAAGGCTGCCTCATTTTTTATCCCATCCCACACCAGTTCATTTGAAACCATTTTTTTTAAACAGACAAGAAAAGAAAGTTTCTGTCAAGCTAAAACTAACTTCCTGAATAAAGTAAGAAGAATTAAAGATGGATTCCTGTGGTTAAAAAAAAATAACAACAACAAAAGATACAGGGCAGCAGACTCACCTAAACAGTCATTGCAAGTTGAGGTAGCTGCATCTATACAACGTTTAGCTCAACACATAGCAGACCTGAGAGAATATCTGAGATTCAGACTTGATACAATTTCAGAAGATATTTGTGGCCTTTTCAGAGGGCTGCCTGATGTTAAATTCCACATACCATACTTAGAAAATGAATTACTCAAAAGTGGTACTGAAACTAATGACTTTATGGGTGAAATTATCTCGCTGAAAAACAGATTGGAGAATTATGAAAAAAATCATGATGACCTGGAAAATACAACTAGAAGAAATAACTTTTACCAAATAGGCATTACTGAAGGCCTTGAAAGGAAAAGTCTGATTAATTTTCTTTAGAAGCTGCTCTGACATACCTAAAATAGGGCCTGCAACTCTACACTTGATAAATAGAGAGGTCTCACAGGGTGTCAGGCTGAAAAAGCTGGGAAAATGAGAAACCCAGACCCATTAGGCTAGCTTATCAGATGGTGTAAATTGGTATAGCTCCACTGTAAAGTCAATGGAATGTGGCTAACTTACACCATCTGAGGATCTGGCTTGTCTTTACACTGCTAAAATGTAATGATAATATGATGATGCTGAGAGGAAAGCAGGGAAAATGAGATATACTGGCCATTTTTTTTCATTTTTCTGCTAACCTAATCAAACTAATGCTGTATTTAATGGAATAAAGCAGATTCTCAGGGGAACTAACATTAGAAATGGCATCAAGTACTCAGTTAACTTTACTATGGCCCTGGCAGCTTCTACAATATTTTGCAAGTAACCAACAAAAGCTTGGCAAACACTTCAAAGCCTAAGGCTAAATTTGACCAGCAGTAAAAGTATGGGTTTTTTTTAATTTAAAAGCCAAAGTCAAACAGCTCTCTACTCACAGATACAGATAAATGACAGTTGGCCCACCATAATCTATTAATCACTGTATGACATTAAAATCAGGACCACTGTTTCTATGAGCTTCAATATCAAAAGAACATGTAGTGGATGTCCTAAAGATCCAAAATCTGAAGAAATATATGGCTCATGACATGTCTAAAAGATAATTCAACATAAATAATCTTTTAAGTTAAGTGATTTTATATACCATGGGATGTACTTTAGTTCTCCTCAGATTTACTTTAATATCGTGCTATATTGCTTCTTATAATAATTATATCTGTTTATGTATAGTGTGTCATGACTGCTTACTATGGTCAAATGCCAGTCTATAATTTTCATGATTTTGTCTTTTTAAAATGTACTTTTAAAAAAGAAAAAAACATTTAAAATCTCAATATCAGAACAGCAAAACTTTTTTCCAAAGCTAAAAAAAGGCTTTTCTCACCGGCATTAATCTTTTAGCTTTATTATTGAATGCACTGGACTGCATGCTGGTAGATTAATAAGTTAGATTAATGGAAAGTAGGGACAGTGCTAAGGAAAGTGAATTGTCATCAAGGTGAAGGAGATGTAGAGTGGTATACTGGTATGTGTTTAAGTGGGGGTGCCTGAGTTACATTCATGATGAAAAGTGTGGACGAAAAATATGCAGGTGGAGGTTTGTAGCTACCAGAAAGGTGGCACTACCTAGATCTTCCAAACATTACTGTCTGCCTCAAATTTCTGGGGATAGTAGTGGAATTTTCTGCTTTTTCACGCAAAGATTTCCATTCCTCCAACATTGTGCATACTCCCAAAGTAGGCTATTTTGAAATCTATCAACTTTCCTCTATGTCAGCTTTACTTTTTATTTCAAAATCTCCCAACTTGTCTGAGTCTGACCCTTAATGATTCTAAAATATAAATGAACACAAAGGGAAATACGTTACTCTGTGATCCACTGCATCATTGACAATACACATTGGATAACCTTATCTTGTGCTGGGTTATACTGTATTAAATATTAATATATTGTACACAGCAACCTAGTACATAACAAGACAATAAAAATGTGGATATGTGTCTGCATAGCCACTACTTTATGAGAGTTTACACGTTAAGAAAAGTTACCCATCTGTTGTATCTAGAACATGGGTTCCCAAACTTGTTCCGCCGCTTGTGCAGGGAAAGCCCCTGGCGGGCCAGGCGGTTTGTGTACCTGCCGCGTCCACAGGTTCGGCCGATCGCAGCTCCCAGTGGCCGCAGTTCGCTGCTCCAGGCCAATGGGAGCTGCTGGAAGCGGCGCGGGCCGAGGGACGTACTGGCCTCCGCTTCCAGCAGCTGGGAACCACTGACCTAGAACATTCTTTTGTTATTTATCTATAAAAAAAATTAAACCCAACCAAACAAAAATTATTTTAATTCATAAGGAAGATAGACATTACCCTTAACTGAGATTTTTCTCCGAATATGTAGAGCGCAGCTTGGCGTTTCAGAAGCTGGTTTTGCAAAAATGAACTGTTACTGTATGACGCTGTGTTATCTTTCCCTGCTAGTCTTGCACCGACATCAATGAATGGCGCCTGAGTGCTGATAAATCGATTGCTAGAACGAAGACTTGCCCATACACCTTCACAAAGATTAAAAATGTTACAAAACAATTTCTCTCTCATACAAATGAAGTTTTGTAGAATACACACACGGAAGCATGCATACATAAGTATACTTTTTAAAGTAAGGTGTTTGCACATATCATTTGGATTATTTATAGAATGGAACAAATATCATGCATTGGAAAGAAATAATACCAAATTGGAATAATTCCACATTTAAAATGCTCCAAATTAAACTACAGTACAGAAATACAATGTGAGATCCTAATCAAAACTAGTCGAACATTTAATACTCTACAGACTGATAAACATTGTCCTGTATTAATAGTGTTTGCTATAAAAATCTATACACGGTTCTGAGATGCATTACAATTTGCAAATAATTAATATGCATTTAATGAAAGTGCTAAGTGATCTTTTCAGTACTATGGACAAATTTCTATAGCTTTCCTTGCTTCAGGCCTGTTGTTTTGGGAGCTTATCTACTAGGAATAGCCTGCTATCACATTAGGTTTTTCCTCAACAACGGAAAGTTCCTCATATGAAATAACAGAGTGCCCCATTACTTCTTACTGTAATTAAAATTAATATCAGCATAAGCAATCCAAATATTAAACTTCATGATGTTATTCCATATTTGAGCCTGAATAATAGTAATTACAGTATTTAAAGCCACAATCATGGATTATCTTATGAAGTTTAGTATTTAAATATTCATGCCTACACTGATTTTAAGCACGTCCCTTGTTTTGGGCATATGCCCCACAATTACATTTTGACAGACGTTTGAATGGTCTAGTGCAGAGGTTCTCAACCTTTTTCTTCTGAGGCCCCCCCAACATGCTATAAAAACTCCATGGCCCACCTGTGCCACAATAACTGTTTTTTTCTGAATCTAAAAGCCACCGCTGGCGGTAGGGGTAGCAAGCAGGGCAACTACCCGGGGCCCTATGCCACAGGGGCCCCCATGAAGCTACATTGCTCAGGCTTCAGCTTCAGCCCCAGGTGGGTGGGCTCAGGGCCCCGGGCTGCAGTCCCATGCAGTGGGGCTTTGGCTTTCTGCCCTAGACCCCAGTGAGTCTAATGCTGGCCCTGCTTGGAGACTCCCCTGAAACCTGCTTGAGGCCCCCTAGGGGGCCCCGAACCCGTGGTTGAGAACCACTGGTCTAGTGGTTAGAGCAAAGGTGATGGTGGTGCCTAGAAGATCCTGGGATCATATTTCAATTCTCTCTCTAGTTCACTGTGTGGCCTTCAATGAGCCATATCACCTCCATATAAGAAAGCAGCAGTAAATATACAGTAGTGATCAACCTTGCATTAGCAGAGAGAGGGACTAGATAACCTAATAAATATTTTCTCTCGCTAATTTATGTGATTCTGTGCCTCAGTGAACCAAGCTAGAAATCTGGGACAAGATTTTTAAAAAATGACTAGTAATTCTGAATGCCTCAATTTTTGCATGCACAACCTGAGGTAACTTAAAGGCATCTAATTTTCGGAAGGTGGGTAAACTCAGCACTTTCTGAATATTCAATCCCCTTCAAGTGCCTCAAGTTTGGTGTTCAAGTTACCAAGTGAATTCTATGGCCTATGTTATGCAGTAGGTCAGATTAGATGATCATAACGGTCCCTTCTTGCTTATAAATCTATGAAGCAGAACACCTAAAAGCTGAGGAACTGAAAATATCTAGTCATCTTTGAAAATCTTGGCCCTGAGATACAAAGAATAAAAAAGAAGGAAAAAAGTCCTCACTAAAACCCAATACTGAGGCTTCCTGTATAAATAAAATGATAAAAACTGTAGATAGTGGTGAGATCCCATTGAGATATCTGAAACTGGTCAGAGTTTTTTTTAAAAATAGCACAGTACTTCTACTCAAACAATAATACTGTAGAGAAATCTCAGACAGGGACTTGCCTGTTTGTACAGCATAGCCTGTCTGCTTGTCTGGCTCACAGCTTTAGATGTGAACAAACAGGTAGGAACAAATGAGAAGGGTTTGTTAGGAACTTAAAGTTGATAACAGTCACCCTTTAAACAGCTCCTCCTTCATAAAAAGCTAGTTGTATGAAGTATCTCACTTATACAAAGATTATCTTTAATGTTAGCTTTTGTTCCATATCTAATATATCACTGAAGCAATAATAATGAAGTTTTCATTACTCAAGAAAGAATCACAGCAGTCATTTAATAATGGAAATAAACTGTTGTTCATTTTTTGTGTAAAAGGTTGTAAATTCCCACAAAGAAGATGGACACAGAGACTATATACTAGAAAAATCTCTTAGGATATCAGTCCTATTTTGCAAATGTCAAAGCAGGCTGTGATTATAGCTTGTAGCACATCAAAAGCCACAGAGCCAATTACAAATACATGCAGACTAGTACATTTACCAGTGATGGGTAACAGTGATTAAAAAGACAAAGTTAATGACTTTCTCTTCTATTTGGTATCTAATTTTTGTACCTTATTATTTGTAGAAGATTTGTATCTTAGAAGATATGGCTTTCCTTATTTGGTATACATTATGTTTTTATGTATTTCTAGTTCAGCAAAAGCCATTACCTCTCTGTTTACCAACATTATTGATAATGTTGGCAGGAAAGTTCACAGACTGGATAAAAATATTTCTTAAGTTACCCTGCTACTGAGTAGTAAAAGTAGCAAATGCTATTTTGGGGAATGATTTTCTGTTATTTAATTTTTTGGCAAGGACTAATAGATTTTAAAAGGGATATTTAAAATCTGGAGGCCTTTCTGTACTAGACAGTAAAAATTTTAATGTAAAATTTGCTAAATTGTGTGGCTAACCACAGTCACAAAACTTTGTTAACACAGTTAAGGTTGCCTAACATTGACACTTGAACATATATGAAAACATAGCACTAGCTATGGAGATGGTAGAATAAAATATACTGCCAGGATAGAGAATACAGTACCTTGATGGACTCTTCCCTTAGCTGCTGATTTGGAATTTGACTGAGTGAAACATTTATCTCTGTACCCAAGCACTGGTAGATAACAGTACAGACAGAAGGAGGAGGAATGGAATGCACATTGCAGCGAGACAGTCATAGCAAGTTGAATAGGAGAGAAGAAAAAGGTTACTTGTCAGTTTCCACTGATGTAGGATTATATTCAAATAATTTTCAAAAGTACAAGATAACAGGTAGTGTATTTCGTAGCCATTACAAAACAACAGAAAACTAATACAAAATAGAAAAGCAGTACCTACTAATCAAAATAAATAATTTTCAAGGCATTGCAATAATTCCAAACATGCAGCACAGCCAAGAAGATATGCCATTATATGATAATTATATAAAATGGAAATTGAGCCATTCAATCAGATTGCTGGATACCTTATTGAAGAACATTACTATTAACATTACCCTGTCAGAAGCAATCTGCACCATAAAGCCACAGGATATTTGTGTAAAGCTGTATATGTTCCTCTCTGACTGGCTTAAGCACATAATTATTCTGTTCTCCAGGTCTATCAGATGCAGGACAGCAGTCCTACCTACCCACCTATCTATCTACACTTCTAAAGTACAGTATAAGGCATATGCTGTTTAGGAAAATTATCACTCTAAACCAGTAACATTCATCATATCAAGGGGCAAATTCTTCCTTCAAGTGCACACTCCTGACTTCCAGGGGGAGTCATACATATGCATCAAAGAGCAGGATTTGGCCCCAAGTGTTTTAATCTACACAAACCATTTGGTATAACAAAAATGTTATAACAGAACATAATTACAGTAACAATGTCTCCTGCTTTTTCAATAAATGTCTTGGCTTTGACTCCACATTTATTTTCCATAAATACGTCAGTATCTATCTAGTAGCAAGAGACTATTATCCTGTGACAACATTCTATTCCACTAACATTACCTCTTAACTGTTTAAATGCTTGGGGATAAAAACAGATGACAAACACTATTTCATATTACTAATTACGCACCACTCCATATTTGAGCCAAAGTTGGAGACAGTCAGACACAAAGGTCTGTACTTTGAGTAATATTATGTTTGTTCTGAAAGATATATAAAAAAGCCAAGAAAGCCCTAGTACTGAAAAATTACAGCAAAATGTAACTGATTGGCCATTTACTTTACAACAGAACCACTCTGACTGGATTTTATGTAAACACTTTGTTCTGATATTTCTAGAGAACCTGATATTGTACAGACAGTGGATGAGCATAGGTCTGACTTGCATACATTCAGGAGAGCCTAATATTCATATTCAGAACTGTTCTGATTTCAAAAAGTGTGCAGAACATCTACCCTGGTATATTTATTCATTTTGATTTAAATAACAAAAAGATGCCTAAACACTCTGACATGTAATTAATATTGTGTGCACATACACACAAAATACAGGAAACGTCATTGCCTGCTGGGTCACATCATAGTAAAACTTGGCTTTTGGGCCCCATATGTATGATGTCCAGGAAAAATAAGGAAATGGAAGAGGGGACTAAGCTCAGAAACTCAGCAATGCTGCTAATAACAGAAGCGTATTAACCTACAATTCTGGACAGTGTACTGCATAATCCTATTGTTAAATGGATGCTGCAGTGCTTGGGCTGTTGGCTGAGACATTGACGACTAGTAGTATATGATATTTATTATTGGGTTACCCAGTGGAACATAAGAGAGAGGAAAAGGGACAGAAATATTTGCTAACATTTGCCCCCAAAACTCTAGAGTTGTGTGCATATTATGATGAATCTTAGTTTTATTTATTTTTAATTACATGTCTTAATTATTAGCATCTCAAAAATACCACCATTTTCTGCTGCCTTCCTAAGGCAGCCTGCTCTTTTAGTCAGCCAGAAGTCCATTGAATCTTACCAGTCTCTGCCCCATACCCACATATTACATTGGGACATTGCTTCACAATGGTGCAATCATAACAAACCATGAAAGAGCATATAAATCTAGCAATAACAAAATTACATATAAAATCACTAATGGGATAATTTGGATGTTTGTGTTATCTTGTGGGAGCACAGTAGCCTGCTATCTGGTATGACTGGTTTTTAGTTCCTTATTAGGAGATATTCCCTTTCTCTCTCCAGAGCTTCCTGCCTTAACTGGGACAGCCATCATTTGACAAACTTGTCACACATTCCTGCATTTCAACTGGATTCCCATGTATCTTGCTGAGTTGTGAGCAGACTGCAGACACTGGCCTGCAGTTACACTTTCAGACCACATAGGGCAGCTGTTGTGCTTGTTGGGCAGACAGTCAGATGGCCCCCCTGTCTCCTCTCTGGCTGTTCCCTCTGTCGGAACCCAGCAGAGGGAACAGCACAAGGTGTGGCCCAATACTGGCCCCACTGGCTCACATATCTTCTAAAGAGTAACCCCAGGCATACATCCCCACTTCCACATTCATCAACCAGCAACCATCCTACCCTCCTGGTTATATCAGCAACTTTCTCACCCCCCCCCCCCCCCCCCCCTTCCCATGCATCCCAGTAACTGCAGACAACCAGCAAACTCCCCCTCAGCCATCCCAGACAGCTCAGTTTCCACCCCTTAGGAGCCTCATGCAACCATCAAACAAGTGCCCGCAGCTAACCCAGCATCCCACCCTCCAGAACCTTATCTACTTAGACACCCTAGTGCACACCCATTTACCCAGCATCCTCAAACAGACACCATCCCACACCCATCCATTGCGGTACCTCTAGATACTCTCCTATCTACCCCAATCTCAGCTGCCAGGTTCTGTGCAGCTCCATGTCCTACCACTGCTTGGGGCAGGGTGTATTCACCAGAAGCAGAAGTTTATGGTTATATGAAAATCATTAGCAAATATGCAAATTAGCTTCATACATATTTTACTATAAATTGTCATGTATGGAGCTGCACAAAGCGTCCTCTCCCTAATTTTCGTCCCATTCCTGTGAGGTTTCTTTTTCTCCCTCTGCTTTTCTTTGCTGTGTCCCTCACTTCACTTCCCCGTATACAGCTCCATGTTTCTTTTCCCCATGTAGGTTTCCCTTTTCCATTTACCACAGCACTGTGAGACTTCTTCTTCTTCTAATCTCTTCCTCTACCACTTTTGAGTATCTCTCTCTACTGAATTATTTTCTTTCCCCACATAACATCGTTATTTCCCTATACTACACCTTTGAAGTTCTTTCCTCTACCACAATCTGGTGCTTCCTCTCTCCTCACTCCTGCAAGGATGAGTTGAAGGAGCTATTGAGTGGCTGTTTCACAGGTGGCTATGGAAACTGGTAGAAGACACAAGGAAGAATAATACAAGAAAAGCAGTCTCTGGTTGCCTAGCAGCAGTCTTTAGTGGCCACAGGTGGTAACTGCAACACAAATATTTTCCCAATACCAGATATTTGGGATGGAATTGGGCCCATTAGCAAATATCCTTGCATCCTTACTCTAGCCTAAAAACATAAAATGAATTTCAGTGCACTGATTTATGCAACGACTGTTCAAAATAAAATCACAACCAATGGCTCAAAGTAGAAAAGTCAAAAGGTCTGATTTCACTCCTGACAAATGAAAAAAGTCTGTCTCTGCCTCTTAGCAGCAGCCCAAGGCCAACTTCCAGACATGCAGACTCTGAAAGCACCAAATTAGTAAGGCTTTTTATTTGTATTAGTATTTTATTTAAACAAAGCTCTCTGCATACATACATCTCTCTTTCATACATACATCCCACAAAGTAAAAATGGTAGCTGGAAGTAACTTCAGACTCAGTAAGCTCTCCTTCAACTCTAAGTGGCCCATTTGTACAACCCTATCCATTACTGGCTGTCCTGCTCTGTCCTTAATTTCCCTGAAGAAACATTCAGATGCATCTATTTGTATATTCATGAGGCATCAAATAATTTTCACCCAACTATTGTGTTGATCTGTAAAGAATTACTCATTCACAACTCTAATGCAAGTCTGAACTTGCTTGGATGCTAACAATATTCTGTTAACAATTAATGACCATTTACTTAATTAAGCAATACAAGATACATGTTTTAACTCCATGTGTGGCTGATGAATTAAAGAATTCTAATATGTGTTTTATTATTTTATAATGCAATTAATTCATGTATGAACTAATTGTTTTTATTTTACTACTAACATTTTATTATACATTTTATTTCAGATTACATCAATGCTTAGTCTTTGAGCTAGTCTTACTAACCTCCTCGAGCAAAGCTATTGGATAGATTTACATCCAAATGTCCTGGCACTACCTGCTTAACCACAGTGGACATTCTTGAAGCCCTCCTTTCAGTGCCTAAAGTCAGTCAAAAAGAATAAAAGATTAAAAACTACAATGTCATTCAGACTAACATTACTCAAATGACAAAAATGTTCTTTTCATGCTGAATGTATTTAACTGCTGCCAATTTTGTACTTTCAAAGTTCCTTAAACTTGTTTTTTAGAGATGTGTATATTTGCAACATTATGGAGGGTTAGGTATGGCTAATGCAATCAAAGTATTTAATGATAAATGAAGCAAAGCAGGCACAAATTTGGGATGGTGTTATTTTGCAAAAAGACATTATTTGGATACACTAAGTCAGTTCCACCAACTGATTAAGCCAAGTAGACAAACTTTTCAAATCACATGCTCCTGTTTCTAAAACATTATTTGAGTTAACTTTACATGAAACCTATCAGGTTTCATCACATGATAACTGAAATAGAATACTGACAAATTTCTTAGTGATTTCACTCAGATCTAGCTAAAGTAGAGTGTACTGCAAGAATTTTTAATTCATTTAACTGAAATTATACCTGGAAAAGAAATGAAAATTCATTCTGACTGTATAAAACATGGAAATAACCATTGCTTATGCAGCTTCCACTACTTTTATAGATAAATACCGTATATGTTCATGTAGCATCAACTTCCAACAACCTTTACAAATTTTCACATAATATAAAATAAAGCAGTGTTTCTCAATCTTTTCAGATTGGCGACCCCTTATTTGAAGCAAAAATATTTTGCAACTTCCTTACATTTAATATAAAAAGAGCAAAAAATATATTAATGATAACTGTGATAAGCCTATATAATACAACTACTATTACTACATTGGACCTCACAAACTTCGAAGGTATTGGCCACCCTGAAATTATTTTGGAAATTTTATTTGCTTTGTTTTAGAAGTGTAATAACATTTTGAATGCCTTGCAACTCTCCTGATTTCCCTCTGCTGCAACTCCTGGTTGAAAAACACTGAAATAGTGTGTCAAATAATAAAAATTATGATGGTCCAAATTTAGCTACAAATTTGGCCTGTCTGAAATTGTTCTGGAGAATAATTTAGTTTTCAACATTCTTGACACTATGGAAAACTCATTTGCAAAAAATTGGAGTAAATTAGCTACCCAGAAGCTATAATTAAGAAGTCACACTGAAGGAGTAACAGAAATCAGACTGGGGAGTCTAAGATACAGACAATCACAGTGGTTTTACTTTTCATCTTAGTTACAGAAAAGAATAGTGCAGCGTATTTTTACCTGGAGACAAAGCAATTGTTGGCCTTACAGTAAGAGTATTACTGCCATTCATTTTACAGTGGATGGAAATTGCATTCAGTAAGGCTTGCAGATATTTCTCCTGTTCTATGCTGCTTGAAGATTCTAAATTAGGAGGAACTATATAAACACAGAAAAGTACAAAATAGATTAAATTATTGCTATATTTACATATATGTGTAAAACCAAAACAACATAGATAACAATCAGATGTAAAAAAAGTGACTGAGAATGAGAGCAGAGAGAACACTTTGCATTCTGCCTTTAATGCACATCAACATTTCTTAGATTCATAGATCATCAAGCCAGAAGGGATCACTGTGATCATCAAGTCTAACTTCCTGTATAACACGGAACTTCCGTAAATGTATTCTTGTTTACTAAAGCCTATCTTTTAGAAAAACACCCTATCTAGATTTAAAAACTGCCAGCGATAGAGAATCCACCACAACCGTTGGTAAATTTTTGCAATGGTTAATTACCCTAATTGTTAAACATTCGTGCCTTATTTCCAGTCTGAATTTATTTAGCTTCAACTTCCAGACACTGGATCTTGTTATGCCTTTGTCTGCAAGACTAAAGAGTCCTCTATTATCAAATTTCTGTTCCCCAGCTAGGTACTTACAGACTGTGATCAAGTCACCCGCTTCACCTTCTCTTTGTTAAACTGAACAGATTGAGCTTCTTGAGTCTATAACTATAAGGCATGTTTTCTATTCCTTTACTCATTCTTGTGGCTTTTCTCTGAACACTTTCCAATTTATCTACATCTTTCTTGAACTGTGGACATCAGAACTGGACACAGTATTCCACTAGCGGTGGCACAAGTGCCAAATACAGAGATAATACATTAATCTCCCTACTACTCAAGATTCCTGTGTTTATACATTCAAAGTTCGTATTAGCCTTTTTGGTCACAGCATTGCACTGGGCGCTCATATTCAGTTGATTTACCTTTTTCGGCATCACTGCTTCCTAGGACAGAGTTCCCTATCCTGTAAAAATGACCTACCTTCTTTGTTCCTAGATGTATAACTTTACATTTGTTTGTATTAAAATGCATATTGTTTGCTTGTGCTCAGATTACCAAGCAATCCAGATAGTTCTGTATCAGTGATCTGCCCTCTTTATTATTTACCACTCTCCCAATCTTTGTCTCATCCACAAATTTTATCACTAATGATTGTATATTTTCTTCCAGGTCACTGATAAAAATGTTATGTAGCATAGAACCAAGAACTGACCCCAAGGGGATCCTCTGGAAACACACCCGCTCAGTGCTGATTCCCCATTTACAATTACACTTTGAAACCTGTCACTTAACCAGTTTTTAAACAAATTTAATGCATGCCATGTTAATTTTGTATTGTCCCAGATTTTTTACACAAAATATTGTGCAGTACCAAGTCAAATATCTTATAGAAGTTTAGATGTGTTGCATCAACACTATTACTTTTATCAAACAAACAGGTAATCTCGTCAAAAGGATATCAAATCAGTTTTACAAAGATCTATTTTCTATAAACCCATTTGATATGCCTGAATTGCACTGCAGAAAAAAATCAGTAGCTTAAAAAAGCAGCACAGTGTACATCAGTTATTATTTTAAAAATCTCCATCTGCCAGTGGTCACCGGTGATAGCAGATTAACATCAGTTTTCCCCTACACTCAGAATGGGAAATAGCACAGTAACTTTGTAGTACCTGTTGGCAAATTTCAACTTTTTTTCTGATGACCTTTTTTAGTGACTACTGAATGTACAGAATAATTTCTTTAACATATTAAATTTTAAAAAAATTCCAAAAGATTGATTACTTACTTTAAAGCAATTGTGGTTTTTTGAGATGTGTTATCCACACAGATTCCACTCTTGGTGTGAATGCACCCCATGCATGCGTTCTGACTGACCTCATGAGCTGCACCCCTGCAGTGGCCTCAACCATCTCTGAGGTCTAGTTTACCCTAGGAAATTAGGTCTGTATAACTATGTCGCTCAGGAGTGCGAAAAATCCACACCCCTGAGTGATGCAGTTAAACTGACTTAATCCCCAGTGTAGATGATGCTAGGACGATGGGAGAATTCTCCATCGATCTAGCTACTGTGTCTCAGCGAGGTGAATTACATATGCCAATGGGAAAACCCCTTCCACTGGCAAAGGTAGTGTCTTCACTGAAGTGCTACAGTGGTGCAGGCTGGGCCACTCAGTGTTTTAAGTGTAGACAAACCCTTTCTGAAAGTCCAAGTACACTATTTCAACTGGATCACCCGTGTCCACATGCTTGTTGACTCCCTCAAAGAATTCTAATAGATTGGTGAGGCATGATTTCCCTTTACAAAAGCCGTATTGACTCTTCCCCAATATAACATGTTCATCTATATGTCTGATAATTCTGTTCTTTACTATAGTTTCAACCAATTTAGCTGAAATTAGGTTTACCCACTTGTAATTGCCAGGATTGCCTCTGGAGTCTTTTTAAAAAATCAGTATTACATTAGCTATCCTCCAATCATTTGGTACAGAGGCTGATTTAAGCAATAGGTTAAATGCAACATTTAGTAGTTCTACTGTTTCATAATTTAGTTTTTTCAGAACTCTTGGGTGAATACCATCTGGTGACTCATTACTGTTTAATTTATTTGTTTGTTCCAAAACCTCCTCTATTGACACCTCAATCTGGGATAGTTCCTCAGAACTCTCACCTAAAAAGAATGGTTCAGCTGTGGGAATCTCAACAACCTTGTTTTCTTTGAGTGCTCCTTTAGTAACTTTATTGTCCAGAAGCCCCACTGATTGTTTGGCAGGCTTTCTGCTTCTGGTGTACTTAAAAAAAAAAAAACTGCTGTTAGTTTTTGTGTCTTTTGCTAGCTGTTCTTCAAATTCTTTTTTAACCTTCCTAATTATATTTTACATTTGACTTGCTAGAGTTTATGCTCCTTTCTATTTTCCTCAGTAGGATTTGACTTCTAATTTTTAGGATGCCTTTTTGACTATAAGCGCCTCTTTTGCTCTGCTGTTTAGCCATGATGATATTTTTTCATCCTCTTGCTATTTGTTTTTAGTTGGGGTATACATTTAGTTTGAGCCTCTGTTATGGTGCTTTTAAATAGTCTCCATGCAGCTTATAGGCACTTCACTCTTGTGACTGGTTTCAGTGGTAGCCGTGTTAGTCTGTATCAGCAAATAAATAAATAAATAAATAAATAAAATAAAATAAAATAAAATAAAATAAAATAAGGAGTCCTTGTGGCATCTTAGAGACTAACAAATTTATTTGGGCATAAGATTTCGTGGGCTAGAACCCACTTCATCAGATGTATGAAGTAAAAAATACAGGAGCAGGTATAAATAAATGAAAGGATGGGGGTTGCTTTACCAAGTGTTAGGTCAGTCTAACGAGATAAATCAATTAACAGACGGATACCAAGGGAGGAAAAATAACTTTTGAAGGAGCGTGGCCCATTACAGACAAGAAGGTGTGAGTAACAGTAGGGAGAAATTAGTATTGGGGAAATTAAGTTTAGGTTTTGTAATGACCCAATCACTCCCAGTCTTTATTCAGGCCTAGTCTGCAAATTAATTCCAGTTCTGCAGCTTCACATTGGAGTCTGTTTTTGAAGTTTTTTTGTTGAAGAATTGCCACTTTGAGGTCTGTTACTGAGTGACCAGAGAGATTGAAGTGTTCTCCTACTGGTTTTTGAATGTTATGATTCCTGATGTTAGATTTGTGTCCATTTATTCTTTTGCGTAGAGACTGTCAGGTTTGGCCAATGTACATGGCAGAGGGCCATTGCTGGCACATGATGGCATATATCACATTGGTAGATGTGCAGATGAACAAGTTGTGACTGTTCCTTTTAATTTCCATTTAACTACCGTAGTTTCCTCACTTTTGTGTCGTTCCCCTCTTTGAAGTTAAATGCTACTGTGTTGGGTTTCTTTGGTATTCCCCCCCAACCCCCGGGATGTTTAATTACATCATGGTTGCTATTACCAAGCTGTAGAACTATCTTCACCTCTTCAACCAGATCCTGTGCTCTATTTAGAACTAAATCAAGAACTGCCTCTCCCCTTGTGGGTTCCAGGACAGCTGCTCCAAGAAGCAGTCATTTAATGTGCCCAGAAATTTTATCTCTGCATCCCTTCCTGAGGTGACATGTACCCAGTCAACATGGGGATAGCTGAAATCTCCCTTTATTGTTGGGTTTTCTGATTTTTTAGCCTCTAATCTCCCTGAGCGTTTCACAATCACTGTCACCAGCCTGGTCAGGTGGTCGGTGGCAAATTCCTATGGTTATACTCTTATTATTCAAGCATGAACTTCATCCCTATGGGGTGTGAAAACGTGGTGTAGCCCTGCATAGGAGGTTGATTTCCAGAGATCACTGCCAGTTGCACTCTTACTGAGCCGAGAGAGAGTCCTGATTTCTTCAGAGAAAGTAAATAGTCCAATATTGCTGAAACTAGAACGGTCAACACTGAGAACTGATGCTGAACTGCTTAGATAGAAAGCTTCTTCCATTTGGCCTCGTATGATTGAAGGTTCAACCTGGTTGAAGGTTTTCTGCATTGAAGAAAGATGTTTTGGGCTGCAGCAGAGCAGCATTGCTCTGTAGATGTCATAAAGCCAGCATCCAGGCTGCAAGGTGTAATGATTTGGGGTCATCGTTCTGAGAAACCAGGCTGGTTTCTGTATTGCTATATTCATTAGATCTGAATACTTGCCTGGTCCATTCTGGGACTATCATGATCATACAATCATCTTGCCTGACCTTCCTCCAAACTTTGGGTATCACAGGTGTTGGTTGAAAGGCATACATTAAATTTGGAGCCCACAGGGTGAGATAGGCATCCATGTGGATGCCTCTTTTGGAGCAGAACATATGGCACTTGCTGCAAACAGTTCCAATTTTAGAAACCCCCATACGCAAAAAATGACAAGAAGGACTGAGCTCTTGAGGGATCATGTTTCTTTCAAATAAGTCTCTGCTGAATTGATCCGACAAAGTAGTCTGGAGGCCAGGTGTGGTATGATTACAGATACACCAATCCCAGAAATGCATGACTTCCTGGCAGTGAAGAGGATCTGGCTCCCCTCCCCCCCCCCGCTTGTTGATATGTTGTATTGCTGTGGTGTTGTCTATGAACACGTGGATAGTTAAGCCTTAAATAAGAGGTAGAAAAGCCAGTTGAATAGCCCTGACTTCTAGAATGTTTATATATAGGACCATCTCCTGAGGAGACCATCTCCCCATAATCTGTAATTGGTGGAGCTGAATGAATGTGGTGTAAATGCATGCTGCCATGTGCCCTATGAGTTTGTGGTGGGTCCTCAATGGTGTTTTTGGGTATTCCTGGAACTGTCTGAAATCTCTGAAGGAGGTATGCTCTTGCTGACCTAGATTCTAACATGGCTCTGATAAGTTCTATGCTCTGATTTGGGATCTGTGTGGATTTTTTTTTTTGACTTGGCGTCCCATGATGCAAAGAGATTTAGAATAATTTAAATGAGTTAGTCGCTTGTTGTGGGGATTTCCTTGTCTAAATGGTTTTCTAGATAGCATTATACCTGGAGTCCTTGTTTTCTCATATGGGCTTGGCACCATTGCCAGAACTTTGGTGAAAGGCCAAAGCACAGGACTCCATACTGATAGTATGATGTTCATTCCTCCTGTGAGCTGGATGTATCAAAATGTGAAAATAGGCATCCTGTAAATTGAGAGTCATGAACCAGCCCATAGGATCCAAATTGGGGATTATAGAAAGGTAGCAATACAGAATTTGAAACAATGGATAAAGGCATTGAGATGTCAAAGATCGGTTTCCAACTTCCTTCTTCTATAGTAGTAAGCAGTAAAAGTCCTTGCCATTGAACTCTAGGGGCATTCCCTCCACTGCTCCTGGTTGTATGAGGGAATTTATCTCTTGCTTCAAAGTCTCTTGTGAGAAGGGTCCCCGAAGAGGGTCAAGAAGGGGGTTGGAACAGCTTGAAACCAGATGGGATACTTTTTGCTTATTATCTCAAGGACTGACTAATAAAAAATAAATAAATAAAAATATATGGAGATATACCTATCTCATAGAACTGGAAGGGACCTTGAAAGGTCATTGAGTCCAGCCCCCTGCCTTCACTAGCAGGACCAAGTACTGTCCCTGACAGTTTTTTTTTGTGTGTGTGTGTGCCCCAGATCCCTAAAGTGAGGTCACTTGATGCTGAGAATTGTACTGGTGCTCATATGCCGAGCACCTGGGCATCCGGTGTTGTGGTGTCAGGCTACCAAAAAGAGGCCAATGGTGCTGTGAACAAAGCTCTCTGTGCTGTAGCTGGTACTGAGGTCTGTGCTGTATGATCAGTACTGAAGGCAGTGCAGTCCTTACTCTGGAAGGGAACGGTCAGCGCCAGCTTTAACTTTGGTATGGAGATACTAGAATGAGACTCTGCTTTCAGGCTCTTAGTGGAAGAAAATGTAGAGGATGATTTCTGTGTCCTACTTGGGGAAGAAGATCAGTACTGTCCTGGTCCTGGGAGCAGCATCAATGATGGTCCCCTTTCAGAAGTCAATGCTGATGTGGCAGACAAATGGGTCTTGTGAGAAATGACCCAGGGCCTTGTGAGAAATGACCCAGGGCCTAAGAGTAGGGGTTTGGCTCACTGGGAAACTAGAGACAACTGCAACTGCCTTGATTGAAGAAGCTTCTCTGTGGATGTGCATGGATCTGATGAGTCTTGCATCAATTTTTCCAGGAGGAAGAGTTTGAGTCTTGCCTCATTCATCTTCTCAGTACACTTGGAGAATGATGAGCATTTGGAGCAACACTTCACGACATGTCCCTCTCCTAGGTAAATGAGACATCTAGAATGCCGATTGTTAACTGCTTTACAGGAGGGCAAATTTTAAACTCCTGTGACTTGATGTCAGCCATTTTAAAGTAATATACAATGGGGTAAACCCCTTGTACAGTGGAGTAAAGAAAACCTATGAATAAACCATTAAGTTGCTTTATTTTATTATAGCCAACAGGCAAAAGAAACCTATAGAAGAAATAATAACTATCCTAACCACAACAAATTAACACTAATACTAGAGCAAGGGGTGTGGACACTCCAAGGGTTCTCTCTTGCAGCAATGAGTGAGAAGAAGGAAGTGACAGGTGGCTGGGACGCTCTGTCCTTTATGCCCTTAGCTAGAGAGCACTTAAGGTGCACAGTGGCCAGAACAGCCAATGATATTAAAAAAGAAAAACTGCTCTTGAGCAGTAGGTCAAAGTGTACTACTAGGGAACCTCTAGTGAGCGGCAGCAGGGTACACACAGAGAGTGTGTGGCCTGGTGAGCACTGTAAATTTATAACCCAGTGCGGAGTCCACTAACCACTAACGTAACAGCCAATCCAAATATTGCTGTCATTATTGAATTTCTAATTAAAATATTTCTGAAGTTTTAGCACTTTTTTGCAAGTGCCTGTGAAATATGCAAAGCTCTTATAGTTAAATATTATGCCAGATGTGAACTGTTCTTTATAAATAGTTGAAAATATTTATAAATATAATTAATAAGTTACAATTTCCCATGGTTATTTCACAGAGATACCTTATGAACCAGTACTTTATTCAACGGATTATGCAGAAAATACTTAAATCATGCAATCTATCCTCAGCATGAGAACCTTGAGTCACTCATTGCTTTTATGTAACTTGCTTACCATAGTACATTATGTTATTAACAGTGAAAAATTCCACAGGGCAAACTATTCAGTAATGTCAAGTACTTTAAAACAGATTTTTAGTCTTTAATTGCAGAAGTGAAGGAACTTATTGATCCAGAAATTTCTATACTGATTGGATATCTGTTTTGCTACTTTCCTCTCATGCTTTCTGAGCAACATTCTGATATTTTTTCTTAGAAATAAATTCCACTGGCTAGTTAATTCCCAACTCCCATGATACCATTTATTTCAAAGAGGTAAAAGGACCCTTCATTCTGCTCTAATTTCTCTGGGTCAGGCTAGGGTTTGGATAGTTAATCGCAAACCAAATTCTTCCTTCTTTAGATAACCAAGTTCACTTTTGTCTTGAATTCTACTTCTAACACTATATGCCTAAGAGATGCACCAGTCCTGTTTTCTTCACACAGTCACAAGTATTTCCCCCCCGCCCCAAAATATATATATATATATATATGGAGATATACCTATCTCATAGAACTGGAAAGGAGCCTGAAAGGTCATCAAGTCCAGGCCCCTGCCTTCACTAGCAGGACCACGTACTGATTTTGCCCCAGATCCTTAAGTGGCCCCCTCAAGGACTGAACTCTCAACCCTGGGTTTAGCAGGCCAATGCTCAAACCACTGAGCTATCCCTCTCCCAGTGCTTAGACTTTCCTTATTGGCTAGCATCTTTGAGGTATTAACTTTATTCAGTGTCATTATCTTATCCTCAGAACAAAACACCATATACAGCTCACTCAGGCCCTCTCAAAAACATAAAACCAAGACAGTAACTATGAGAAAGAATAAGAATTAAAGACACACCATGCAGCTCATGTGGGAGGTGAAAGTCGAGAGTAATGTGTCCTTCACAATTCATTTCCCTCTAAACATGCAATTCACTTTCCTCCAATATTCTCTTCAAAGATACTCCATTATGACAGATCTTGCACTGTTCCAGTGGTGATCATGGGAAAGATGAACCTTTATCTCACCCAAAGAACCCAAGCAGAACTCTGGAAATCTCTCAGGCCTTGGTTTTATAAAAAGCTCTCTCAAAGTAAAACTAAAATTATGCTCAACGCCATCAGAGAGTCAAATGGGTAGAATTTGCTCTAACTATTGCTATATCCCATAAATAATGACAACATGAACTCGTGTGTGATGCAAGAAAATAAGGTGCAACAACAAAACCAAATTAGAAGAATATTGTTTAAAGAAAGCAGGTGGGGTTGCTGTAAATTAAATAATTTATTCATGAGAACACCATACATCTCTAAAAAGAACCTCTTTCACTGAAACAACACATACAGAAAGTCCAGAAACATAAGCTCACCTGCAGTATGTGTGTTTTGAGATTTGAAGAGGCCGACAACTCCCTTTCCATGGAAGCCCCCAGCTCTTAGCAGCAGAGTACTGATTTTTGAGTTTTTCCAGCAGACAACTGGCAGACGATTGTGACGATAACAACGAGCTACCCTCTGCAAACTGCTGTCTTGCACAGACTGAGGTACTACCAAAAGTCCAGGATAGCTATATTAATCAATAGAGAGAAAATTAAAAAGATAATCAGAATTATTTCCTAAAAGATTCTTCCTTTTCCTTTTTAAAACAGGATATGTATATTTCTTAATCTGCAGTTTTCACTGATATATGCACTTTTATTTATCATAGAATCATAGAATATTAGGGTTGGAAGAGACCTCAGGAGGTCATCTAGTCCAATCCCCTGCTCAAAGCAGGACCAACACCAACTAAATCATCCCAGCCAGGGCTTTTAAAGAATAGCTAATTTTTGTAATACAGTGTATTTTTGATTATTTTGATAGGATGAAGAGTATTAGAATTTTTAAAAAGCAAATTTCATTGGAGAAAATGTAAACTACTTCCTTTTTTTCTTTCATTTACAGTCTTATTTGTTGATAAATCTCCTTGCTCCCCATTTATTCCTGAAATTCTCTCCTCAATCTGTCATTTGAACAGAGTCAGGTTTATGAGAAAGACATAGAAAACAGATCACTGGGGCTCTTCAAAGGAAACAAACATTATTTTTATATTTGACACCAGTGATTGTGTACAGGCGCTGACATTTTAAAGGCAAGAATGTTTAGATGCTTTGAATTAAAACACAGTACTTTGGCATTGACCATAACTAGCTCATGTCAAAATGCATTTAAATATTTTAGTAAGAAACAATTTTGGAAAAGCACATTACAAATTGCTGGTTATATAATGTTTAAAAAAACAAAACAAAGACAGTTTGGGAACTTCCACGATATAATAGTTCTGAAAACGGAAAATCAAGCAAGAGTGTTGTCTCTGGTTATGTAAGTGGAAGAAGGATTCAAGGCGTTTGAAAGATTTCTTCTACCTCCTACAAAGAGGATTCAATTAAAGTGTCAGTTTTATTTTGAGAGAAAACTAATTAAAGAGAGCACTCGGGAGATTTTACATTTTACTAAAGAACCCCTCTTCTTCTATAATGCACAACATAAGGTTGTTTGTGACACAATGTAAGTGAACTTATTTGACATTTACTGAACTTAATCATTAGGGAATGAATGCCTAATCCATTTTATGGTCTATTTCCTAAAATACAGTACCTGAACCAAAATCACATGACATTAAATAACCACTCATATCCCGAAATTTGTAAACGAATTGGATATTGACTACTTTTCTCAAAACAGTGACAAAAATTCAAACAGGTATTTTTTGGGTAAGGATAAGGTATGAAAATTATTTTAAAAATATAGTGATTACAAGCAACTTAAAAGCATAGTTAATATAATGCAGTGATTTCTTTGGTTCAATTTAACTAATATTCGCTAGTGATTGAATAAAAGTATTGCTGTCACATTGGTGCTTTGGATAAGAGACAAACAGCCTGGATTTAATATTCTTTTGTGCTCTTTCCATGAAAGCGATGGCAATTTCATTTTTCCATAATGAAAACAACTTTTAGCCTGCAGTGTCTTTGTAGGATGTGAGTGCTTCAGTGATGAAACTTCTGCAGATTTGCTGTTGTGTTAAACAGCATTTTTGTAGGCACTGATAATAAATCTCAGTTAACTTTCACAATAAAAAGGGCTTATGCATTAACTTCTGACTGACGTTCAGGAGTTCACATATAGTATATGACAAACATTTTAAAGGAAGTGCTCCAACAACTGGTTCATGAGTTCTTATTTGCAGTTTCTGGTTTGAACTGTATTAATAAAATGCACTTCTGGGGCTTGTTTTCCTAGTCTCAAACAGAAGTTTTAGGTGTGTAACATCCAGTAACTTTAAAATGAATTGATTGTATGTAGCTCCCATGCATTGACAGGAGAATAGACCTTTAGGAGCTTTCGAATTAGGATTTCATAATGTACAAAAAGGACATTATAGATCCAACTAAAATACAATTCTTAGTAGCTGAATATACAGAGCTGCTAACAAATATAATACAACAAAAAGAGAGAGAAAATTAGCACTGCTATGTTTGCTGTAAGTTCAGTGTTATTGGTTTTGGGTTTATGACAAGTACCATTTTCTCAGAATACTTTGCTCTCTAAATAGATGTGTTATATGTAATGGATGTTGTGGATGATGTGTAATATGGCAGATACACATTTCTAAACATAAGAGTGAACTGATTAACTCACCTTCTACAAAGTGAATACATCCTGTTCAATGCAGTTATTCGGAAGTATTCTGTTTTGGAGCGAGAAGAGCTACTACTGATGGTCCCCAGTCCCAAACGCTGATAGTCTCTAAAACAGGCTCTCTCTACTAACTGCTCCATTGTTGACTTTTCTGAGGCTTTCAAAGTACCACTTGTGTGCAATTCACTGTCATCTGAAACTGAAGTTAAAATACTTTTCTAGCTTAGTATTTAGAAATGCACTAGTTATATAAAGTAGACTGCGATGCTTCATTCTGAGCAAAACATTACATTTACCAAATCCAGCAATTGCTGATGGCAGGGACAAATGACAACTGATACCAATTTATACAAATTATAGCCAACAGGCTACAAATTTTATTAAAGTAATTTAAGATAAAGGCTACAATATCCTGGAACTGATGGAAGGGAGCATATGTGAAGCAGCAACACCCTAAAACTGTCACCAGCATCCCAGTGGCATGCAAATATTATCAATGACCTAAACAGTTCTATTTAAACCTAAGGCAAAGATGAGCCCATATAATTCCAAAGCTAGTAGTTCAGCATAATCTTCTGCACTGGGAAAGTTGATTTGGGATCTTCAGTTACTCCTGTGGATCTAACCTACAAGGTCCAAAGAAGTGGGAATTATGAACATTCCACATGCCACCCACCACAGAAACATAGAAATTACCTCACTAGATCAGTATCTAGTTTAGTATCCTGTCTCCAAAAGCAGCCAGCACCAGATGCTGCAGAGGAAAGTATAAGAACCCCACAGTAGGGAGATACCGGATAATCTGCGCCTCACATTAAATAATTAACTGATCTCTAACAGTTAACATGAGACATGAAGTTTAATATCTCTTCCACAAAATTCATCATTATGATCATTCTAGATATCTTGTTATCCATATTAATGTCCAATCCATTTTTGACTCTTTATACGTTCTTGGCCTCAACTTCCTTTGGCAGTAAGCTCCACAGTCCATCACGAGGTCGGGAGACCAACACAACCCTTCTCTACCCACATCACCAAAACAATTTAAGCCTTGCCCAGAGGAATAATGTACCCTGTTGTTGCACAGAACAGGAGAAGTCTGCTCTTCTTTTCCTGCCAGTGCGGCCAATGCCACAGGAGCTGCATGCACTGCAGACTGAGAGGCGCTGCAACTTCTCAGTACACTCACTGCTGAGCACATACAGCTCAGCGAGGTGGCAGCAGCCAGCAGGGCACCCACCTGTGCCGATCCCGTGGGGCAAGAAGAGGTGAGCCAATCTGACCTGAGCCTGAGTGGGGTTGGTTGTTTTCACACCCAAACCAACCCAGACCCAACACTTGTAGTTGGGCCCCATCAGGTTTGGGTCAGATTGCAGAACACTAATTCACAGGCAGTGACCTGGCATATAAGAGAAGGGTGCTTGGAATCTATTTGAATAATGACTTGAAGAAATGCTCTGCTAAAGTGGTTTTCAGTTCTTGATGCCTCTAACAAGGGAGTAATGTTGTGGAAATGTATGAACCCAATCCCACATAGTTGCCCTACAGATCTCAGAGATTGGTACACTTCTTAAAGAAGCCACAGGATCTGCCTGGGTCCTGGTGGAGTGGGCACTGATCTAAACTAGCTAGCTCAGTATACTCTGATGCAACAGTTAGATATTCTAGGGACAGATACTGCCAGGCCCTTCATCCTACCTATGAAAACTACAAATAATCTCAGTGAATGATAGTGCCCGAAGCACATCCAGGGTATGCAGTATGGCTTCCCCTTGGCTGGAGTGGGGCATAAGAAAAAAGACAAAGCTATACTGGTATTAGACAATCAGGTATTACTTAGAAGTCTGAGACTACTTTCAGCAAGATTTTAGAGTGAGGCCTAAAGGCCACCTTATCCTTATGTAATATATGTATATTGTGTAATATAGTATATTGTGCACCAGTCATAGTAATATGGGCCTATATTTCTCCTTCCCTTTGGGCAGATGTTACTGCCACAAGGAAGGCTATCTTCATGGATAAATGATAAAGTAAGCAAATAGCTAGAGACTCAAAAGGGTGGGCAATCAATCCCACTAGGACTATCTTAGAGATCTCAAGCAGGGGAAGACTCCTTAACTGGGTGAAACAGGTACCCTGTTTCCCCGAAAGTAAGACATCCCCCGAAAATAAGACCTACTTCCAGTTTTGCCTCTCGCTGTAATATAAGGCATCCCCCCGAAAATAAGACCTCCCCGATAATAAGGCCACCCCGGAATATAAGGCCCCGAAGCTCCAGGAAAAATAAGACCTCCCCTGAAAATAAGACCTAGCGCATCTTTGGGAGCAAAAATTAATATAAGACACTGTCTTATTTTCGGGGAAACAGGGTACATATGGCCCTTAAGGAATCTAGCTACTGTCAGTTGGGAGAATGCTGTGTGACCCAGAATGGGAGGGATGGTTGGCTACCCAGTGTACTCTTAAAGAGCTTATAAACAGTCCTGCATTTTCCAGCAATAAAAGGTAACTCAAAATAGCAGGTATCTCAGTGTCTAAGGGAGCTAACTGATGTTGCTGGATCCAAATAGCAAATCTTTTCCACTTTGCCAAATATGTAAGTCTATTAGGTCTTTTCTACTGTGGATTAACATACTTTGGACCTCTGCAGAGCAACTCCCCTCAATGATGGTTTGCTAGTCTTCATCTAGGCTGTCAAGTGTAATGAATCAGGGTCTGGATGGAGGATCTACCAGTCGTTCTGGGAGATTATGTCTGGAAGAGGGAAGGGTACTGGATAGATTAATCAGGTCTGATAACCAGAACTGTCTTGGCCAAGCCAGTACTAGCATGATCATAACAACTGTAGGCTTCCTTGGGACCTGTGCTCAAGAGTCCAAAGGTCTAGGGCCTGGAGATGGTCCAGGTGAAGTCCCAACTCGAGTGTGGAATCATTTGTCACTAGTGTCTTAGATGGCAATGGTGGGGAAAAGGATAGTCCTTCTACCAGTTTAATAACAATAGGACTTCTGGGGGACCTGCACCTTTATGACTATAATATCTTTTGGGAAGATACAAAGACTTCAACCATGTGACTTAAGTGAAGTCTGGCATACTGTATTATGTAAGTGCAGGAGGCCATGTCATCTAGAAGTCTGAGGTATGCTTGTCCTGAAGTTTGAGGATGAGCCTGTAAATTGTTGTTGAGATCCATGATGGTGTTGAATCTGTCCTGAGGCGGACAAACCTTTGCTGCTGTAGACTATGAATTGTATCCTCTGGGTTGGTACTAATACTGACTTTTATATGTTGACTTTGTGGTGGGCAGTGAAAAGCTGAAGTATTTGATGATTGGAGCTGGTCACGTGCTGTGTGATTTCTCAGGTATAAACCAACCGTTGAGGTATGGTACACCTGGATTCCTTGCTTTCTCAGGTGAGCCACCACCAGTGCGAAGCATTTTGTGAATGCTGTTGTTGCTGCTGGTAGTCCAAATGGAAGAACTCTATATTGATAATAGGAATTTCCCACTTGGAATCTCAGGTAATTCTAATGAGCTCGATGGATTGTTATGTGAAAGTAGTGAACTTGGAAGCTGAGAGCTGCAAACCACTCCTGGGGATCTAAGCAGGGGATTATAGAGGTTAGTGTTACCATTCTGAACTTGGGACAGCTAAATACCTTGCTCCAAATCCAGAATTGGGCACCAGCCTCCCTTTTTCTTTGGAATTAGAAAATAATGGGAGTAAACCCCATTCCCTCTGTATTCTACAGGCACTTCTTCCACGGCTTCAAGACTTAGAAGTGATCCACCTGTAGCTGTAACAGTCTCTCATGGGAGGGATCCATGAAAAGGGATGGGGAAGGGAGATGGGGGGTAGGAAGGGTCTGAAATTGTATGAATATGCCACCATGATGATCTCTAAGACCCAATGGTCTGTGGTGCTGAAAAAATAAAGTAAATGGTTTCCAAAAGGAGAAGAGGAGTAAAAAAAGATCCTCTAGGTGTTATAAATGGCTCCTGACCAAGGCATCAAATCAGCTGCCTTGAAGCTGTTGCAATGAGTGACTGACAAAGAGGAGACAAAGGGCATCTCTTTTTTGGCACCTCTGCTGAATATAGGAGCTCTGCTTGGAGTAGGTCTGGTGCAGATGTGGTTACTTCCCAAAGATCTTAAAGGTGCTTGTGAGTTGGTTGAAACTCAGAATTTCTGGTTCATGGGAAATTTTGACATTTTGAAATTTGGTTTCAATCTGATTCCAAGGTTGTTTGTACCTCTCTAGGTATGCCAGAAAACGTCAACCACAAGGACTTCCTCATAGCAATAGATGTGGCCATGGTCTTAACTGTTGTGTCTGAGATACAGCCTCAGCCTCCAGTCTAGTACAGCATGGTGAGAAGGGTGTGCTGACCTTCAGAGACTAACAACTTGCCTTAAACTGCAGCGAAGAGTGTAAGCCTTGCTCACCTTTTGCTTTCTTGAACAACCTGAAAATGCCCATCATTAAGTGGCATCACCACATCTCAAGAAGGGCAGTTCTTAAAACCAGGAGACTACAGTTCAGCCGTAAGGGTTGGAACCCAGTACTGAGGAAGCCTCACAAACTAAGGAATTTTTTTACAATTTTTTTTAAAGGTGTGTGTGTGTGGGGGGGGGGGGACACACAACAATTAACCCATTAACACTAAACTTACTAACACTTCCTGCCTTTTATGCATTCCGGGCAGCAGGACATACAGGGTGCAAGCGCAACTCCAGTGGACACTGCTAGCCAAAGAATCCAATCTTGAGCGTAGGGAGTGGACACGCACCACAATTGGAATCTATATGGACAAGGACTGAAGAAGAATCTGGATTTTCACACAATGAGAGTTATTTCTGACTAATGTGAGGACATTTTCCCTCTGATTTCTTTCCCTTCTCCCTCAGATGAGGGACGAGCATTAGGTATTTTTAGCCTTTTCCTTGAAGGCTTTGTTCATTCTTTTTGAGAGCACACAATGAGCCAAGCTTAAGAGTTCAGTAGGAATGAGCTTTATATACATCCACATATTTTGTCCCACCCACACTTACCAACCGGTCCAATCATTTTATTAATGAAAAAAAGTATTTTAAAAATAAAACAAAAGAAAGGGGGAAAAAGATTAGTCTCCTTTTCCTACTTGTAATCTTTCCTATATATATATATATATATCTCCATATCCAACACCAGTGATGTGATAAATAGGAAACATTTGGCTTGTGTAATGTTTTGAAGAAATAATTAATTTTTGATACACTTCATTATCTGAAATAGTAAATAAAAAAAGTGAAGAATGGTGTGACAAAACAATACCTATTTAGGTATAGGAGAATCTGGTTCCCTCTAGTGGTATATGTTTTATAGTAGCATTGATCCAGATTAGGAAAAAAATGGATGTAGTGACAGCAGTTGTATGCAGTGTTGTTGTAGCCATGTTGGTCCCAGGATATTAGAAATATAAGGTGGGTCAGATAATATCTTTTATGGGTCCAATTTCCATTGGTGAGAGAGAGACGTTTTTGAACTTGTCTCCTCACCAACAGAAGTTGGTCCAACAAAAGACATTACCTCACCCACCCTCTCTCTGTAATGACAGCAGCATATTTTAGAAACTGAGGTATTTAGAAAAAAACAAAACAAAATGAACACTTTCTGCCTTCAGCACCAATACTTTCCATTGATGTCTGGAAGTGTGATATTTTCACATGTAATACTTTTTGTTAATTGAAGAAATCCCCTCATTTTATACTTTCACATCTGTTGATAGAACCTATACTATTTGCTTCTTCTTTACACTTGCCTTTCTAGAATGAGACTCAACCATTCTAGATTAATGGCTCATGACAAACTGTTTAACAATACTGTACATGAACGCTGCTGAGTTTGCCTTAATGCTGTTAGCCAACGTTATCCTTGTCTACTCCAGGGTGCTATACAGGGTGGTAAGCAAAGTTGTGCTGAGCACAGTTTGGTGATAAAAAAAAGGATCTGAAATTTGAAAATTTCCGCTGCAAATAAACTAAGTTAAAAGCTTGTGCTCCCCCTTATTTCCTACAAACCTGGGAAAGTAATAAAAGTTCAAAGTCTTCACCAAGTGATAACATTTGAAACCTTTCAGTCTAATGTCTGAAATAGACCCTTTTACCAATTAATTACTGTTTGAGAATCTCTTGACAGGTCAGTGTATTTGAATGGATGCATAAGCTCATCTGATAATATGAATATATTTTACCAGAGATATCATCATCTTCATTCCAGCCTGGACGATTCCCTCTTTCTTCCACTATTGTGCCTGTCTTCTTCTTTAATAAGTATTGACGACCAATTGTCATCTTCCCTGCACGTTTGGCTCCTTTCACAATTGTTTTTGAGAAGGTGCTAGAATTCAGAAATAAATAACAAAGCCTGATCTCAAAATGTAGGTAAAATACAAGTTATATTTAACTCTCACTAATATTCAGTATCTGTGTCGGTATACCAAAATACACTTGTAGGATGCATCTTCTCACCCACACAAAGCATGCTTAACAATTTTTCATTTAATTTCAAGAACTAAAAGTGAGGTCAGGACCTCAGAAAATGGGCTCCTACAATTTTAAATTCCTAGTCCTGCGATTTAGGAGAATGTGCTGTGGCAACACTATGCCAACTGTGTCCAATAGTAAAGAATAAACAACCATCTTCTGTTTGCAGGTTTTAATTTTGTTGGAAATATAACAAATAAATCTTCCTGGTTAACAGACTGAAGACATGAAAAAAGAAATCTAAAAATCTCTGTATTCCAGAATTATGTTGGGATTCTAGTCCATTGAGCCAAAAAGGCACTAATCAGTAGAGGAACACATGAATTGCCACTCTGTAACAGACTAATAATCCACCTAGTCTAGTAAGGTGCCTAATAATGGAGTATAACGTATTCATAGATTCCAAGTCCAGAAGGGACCATTGTGATAATCTAATCTGACTCCTGTTTAACACAGGCCAGAGAACTTCCTCAAAATAATTCCTAAATCATATCTTTTAGAAAAAACCCAATCTAAGTTAAAAATGGTCAGTGATGAAGAATCCACCAGGATCCTTGGTAAATTGTTCCAGTGATCAATTACCCACACTGTTAAAACCTTATGCCTTATTTCCAGTCTCATTTGTTGAGCTTCAGCTTCCTGCCATTGGATCATGTTTTATCTTTCTCTGCTATATTGAAGAGCCCATTATTAAATATCTGTTCCCCATGTAGCCACTTATAAACTCTGATCAAGTCAGCCCTTAATCTTCTAATTGTTAAGCTAAATAAATTCAGCTCCTTAAATCGATCACTATAAAGAATGTTTTCTAATGCTTTAATCATTCAATCATTTTCTTTGAACCCTCACACCCTTCTTGAACTGTGGACACCAAAACTGGATGCAGTATTCCAGCAGTTCTGAATTATTTTTTTTCCAGAGTCATTGCTTCCAGGATAGAGTTCCGCATCCTGTAAATATGGCCTACATTCTTTGTTCCTACATGTATATGTTTATATATAGCTGTAGTAAATACATATTATTTGCTTGCACCCAGCTTGCCAAGTGATCCAGATTGCTCTATTTTTGTGTTGCCTGTAATTTTCACCAGTGATAATTTAAGTTTTTTTCCAGGTCATTGATTAAAATTTTAAATAGAGAAGGGCCAAAAACTGATCTATGTGGGATGCCACTTGAAACACATACTCAATGACAATTTCCCATTTGCAGTTACATTTTGAGACCTATCAGTTAGCCAGTTTTTAATCCATTTAGTGTGTGCCATGTCAATTTTATATCATTCTAGTTTTTCAACCAAAATGTTGTGTGGTACCAAGTCAAATGCCTTACAGAAGTCTAAGTATTAACACTATTACCTTTATCAGCCAAACTTGTAACCTCAAATTAGTTTGACAAGATCTATTTTCCATAAACCCAAGGCATTAATTATATTACCCTTCTTTAATTCTTTATTAATTGAGTCCTGTATCAGCTGCTCCATTATCTTGCCTGGGCCTACAATTACCCAGGTCATCCTTTCGATATTTTAAAAATATTGGAACAACATTAACTTTCTTCCAGTCTTCTGGAAATACATCAGTATTCCAAGACTTACTGAAAATCAAAATTAATCATCCAGTTTGCTCCTCAGCCAGCTCTCTGAGAACTCTTGAATGCTTTGAATGGACCTGCTTTGAAGGAAGACTAAAAAACCCAAACTCTACATTACAGATCACTAGAACAACTGCACAATACCATCCCATGAGTGTAAATTTCTTTTTACCTATATTGGTGACCAATCCATACTCTGAAGTATGAGGAACCTCTTTATATGTTGCCATAGTACAACTGCAGATGTTATTCATATAAATGCTCAACTGTATGCTTTGAATCTTATTACAGTAATTACTTCCATAATTTCCTAAGGCACGTATTTCAACAGGTTAATTATACACTTTTATGACTAAATTCATACATATTTTTACACTAGGTAGCTTTTGTTTGGCATACCTATGTAACATGCTTGACAGAAGCTAGACAATTCAGCTTTATTGAGGACTACTGAAATGAACTTGCAATTTTAGAAAGCCATCAAAAATGACACAGAATTCAATGCACTGGACTAACAGTAAACAAGAATATCAATAATAAATTCATATTAAAGAAAAATAGATTATACCTTACCGAAAAGAAGTGTTCTTTTCTTTTTGCTTTGGCAAGATTATCTGCGGTGCAGTTTGCCCAGCTGCAAAAGCAAAGGTGCTAAAGATGGACTGGGGATAACGGAACTTCATTAGCTGTTTCCTAAATATTTCTACCACTTCAGGACTCACTTCCTCATCAAATGCTACTTTAATTAACTGCAAATAAAAAGACATAACATGTTAGAGGCTGGAAATAATTTAATATGCAACTTTTGAGATCAAAGAAAATGAAAACGATCCCACAAGGGAAGTAAAATAATATATTAATAAATAAATAGAAATATGTATATGTTACTGATTATGGCAATTCATTTTATCCATTTTTACTTTATTTTTTAATTTTATATTCTAATGCCAAAATACTTGCACTCTGTAGTGTCTGGAATTTCCATAAAATTAAGACAAAACATCTGAGCAAATCTAAGTAGCAGTTTTTGCACTAACATTTCTACACTAGTTAAAACACTACCCATATTTTCTTGCTACATGGAATGGCAAGGGCTGGAAGAGCTCTGGTGGGCCAGGTCCTTGAGGCTAGACAGGACGACACTGGTAAAAGATTGATACTCTAATTTAAAGACTCTCTCACAATACTATAAAATTCTAGCATTCAAAAATTACCACAGCTATCCTTCCATATTCCATTCATTTCAATTCATTCCTCACCTTGCAAAGCCTAGAAAACTGTGCTAGTAGCAAAGCATGATAACCAAATTTGACCCTTGGAAAAGGAAGTGCTTTGCACTATCCACACTGATCTCTCTTTCCAGTCAAAATACGGCTTTTATACAGTTTAAAGGGAGCCCTGTCCCACAATTCTTAGCCAGAGGGATGATGGGCAACTCATATTTTGAGGATGAGTAATAAAGGAGAGGAAAAATGAGGGTCTGTAAAAGGGACAAAAAGAACTTCCATGGTGGGGGTAAACAAAATAAACATTTCTGAGGTATTTGTTATTTTAAAAGTCCCAATTAAGTTACTTTTTATATGTCTTTTGTTTGCCATACACAAGGCATATCTGATCCTTCGTTTTCATTTCACTTACTTTAGTATTTTCTCTCCAAATGGCTAATAATTCTGTTGTTCTAGGACCTCCTTGAAATGAGGTCTTGAATATTTAGCGGTCACCCTGATATAACATTTTAAATACATTAAAATAATATAGCTGTAGCCATTCTCCCTTGATAGTCATAATTAATACACAAAGCAGAGAGGGGTCTATTTCATATAATATTGAACTCTGGCTGTTAGAAAAGGAACAGAAAGTAAACCGTTTGCTGGTTGGTTTTGTTTTGATAACCTAAAACGAAACTATATTAAACAAAAGCAGAGATAATATTTGACCAGGGTCCAGAACCAGAAACTTTGAGTTGTGTCTGCATTTAGCATACTATTGAAGGATGTTAGAAATTTTATTGTTACTGTTAGTCTCCAAAAAGAGCTTTGGAAAACAAAAGGCCTCACAGTTACTGTTTTACTTGAAAGGCATATAAGAGTGACTCCTTAAATTGTTAATTAAATCCATTCATTTGTATAGGTTAATGTATATGAGAGAAATATTATGTTACACAGTGTCTATTCAAAACACCAATAAGAAGAAATTGATGACATACTCCTAAATGAAAGACTCTCCATTTTATCAAATTGTGATTTTTTTTGTCTTGAACAAAGTAATGAACTTTTGTAGCAGTAACCAGATCTAGCTAAACATTTCATGTTCTGAAGCCACACTTACATAATTTTAATTCTATTGATTACAATTCTTGAAGATTTCTACCTTACATTCCTCTTCCCTTCATTTAGGGCCTCATCATAGGCTAGATTACCTCATAGACTAAAGGTGCTTGTAAGTGTAGGGGGCTCCCGGCTCTGGGGAAAAAAATCTCCAGAGGATTCCCATGTCTACAAACTGTCCTGTTCTACATGCCTTTGAAGAATAGCCTGTGAGGCCTGTCCCTAAACTGGTAAATCCTCAGGAATCTGTACAGATCATGGGGCTCCACCAAAGGTCAGGGCTGCCTATGGAGAGGCCCTGTGCTTGTGGATTAGCTCTCAACCTTGGTGATACCCCAGGCTCCATTTCAACTGTGCTACCATGGACTTCCTCCTGCCATGGAGCCACCCAGAAACACTGGGTGTTCTTATTTTTTCCAGATACACTCCACCAGGATGGAGGAGATTTGATGTACATGCCTTTTGACCTACCCAGACTCAATCTGCTCTTCAGCAGAGACTTTGGACCCAAAGATTGTCCTCCAGAGGGTCCAATGGAGGGGTGAGAGAAACAGGCAATGAAAACCATTTATGCTCCAGTAGATATTGAGTGTATGTGTAGGAAAGCACTTCCGGGTTCCTGTGAGATGCTGAGACCCCTCCAATACCACTGACTTCACCAGGAACTGAGGACACTCAGCCGCTCCCAGGGGCCAGGGTGTTAGTTGCAGCAGGTTATTTTGATGAGATCATAATTTCAGGTGTTTTACAAAGCATAAAGAATAAATCACTCCATTCTACCTGAAATGATGCTGAGGTGATCTGCAGTCCTTCCTGCATATTCTGTTGCAGCTGGTTCTGTATTGTAATCTTCTTCTCCTTCATAATAGATGCTATGGGAAAGCTCCGGATCACTGTCTGTTCTCCAGCTAAGTACCATAGAATCATTTACAGACATGTTAGGTCATGGAATCATATCTGATTTAGTTATATTTTACTTTGAACAGGTGTTAATGAATGGGTGCAAAGAAATGGAAAATAAGGCACATGATCTTGGCCAGAAGGCCAATAAGAATCCAGAATTCATTTTAGGCAAAAGGCTTTAAAGCAGGTGATAAATTCCCAAAATATGACATACAACCCAACATTCAGTTAACTAACATTCGTTTTTCCTATTTGACATTAAATTAGGATGATTGGAAAAATATTTTTCCATTCTCTCTCTTTCTAAATGGTGGAAATGGCAGAAAAAAACTATTTGGTTGTAGTCCAAAAATCCATCTCTAACTATTAGTAATCTGTCATATTACATTCTGAAGTTTATATATAACTGATATGCATTAGTTTCCTTATATAAAAATTATTAACGTTATGTATTTACATTTTTGCTTGATAAATGAATTTGTTTAATAAAGTAACTAAAACAGAGATTTCCAAACAAGAAAATCTGATCTTTAGAACTACTACACTTCCCATGACATAATTAAACACAATATTTAATCCAGTAATGATTGTTGAGGGGGAAAAGTAAACTCCATTACACAGAGTTTTCAATATGTCCAAGATAATTGCTTTTTCAATTTCTACCATTCAGAGTCACTCCTTAGTTTTTGATTACTGCACTTTTATTAGTCTGTGCTATTTTAAAAAAAGTTTGAACATATGCAGACCTTTGAGTTCAGGAATTTATCTCCCCCTCACTGTTAAAGTCCTCAACTACGAGCCCCCATCCTGACATGGTTCATCACTTGACATATGAATCCACTAAATGAGATTTTAAGCTTTAGCCATTAATGATATTTTTGTACTTCTCTAGTACAGAGTGCACTGCTGTAGGTTTCACAAATCCTCCATAAAGTAGCATTTTACAGATGAGGAGAGTGAGGCACAGAGAAACTAAATGACTTGTCCAAATCAAACAGTAAGTCTGTGGGAGTGCCAGGAATATACCCAAGAGTCCTGACTGCCAGTCTTCAGCTTTAACCACTATACAACATTCCCTCACTCTTGTGATAACACTACTGAACTGTTTCACCTTGTGCAAGTGACACCTTAAATGACTGCTTCTGTCTGCTTCTTGGAGCAGCTAGTCATGGTACCCACAAGAGGAGAGGCAATTCTTGATTTAGTCCGAAGTGGAGCACAGGATCAGGTCCAAGAGGTGAATATAGCTGGACCGCTTGGCAATAGTGACCATAATATAATTAAATTTAACATCCCTGTGACGGAGTAAACACCATAGCAGCCTAACATGGTAGCATTTAATTTCAGAAAGGGGAACTACACAAAAATGAGGAGGTTAGTTAAACAGAAATTAAAAGGTACAGCACCAAAGGTAATATCCCTGCAAGCTGCATGGAAACTTTTTAAAGACACCATAATAGAGGCTCAACTTAAATGTACACATTAAAAAACAGTAAGAGAACCAAAAAAGAGCCACCGTGGCTAAACAACAAAGTAAAAGAAGCAGTGAGAGGCAAAAAGGCATCCTTTAAAAAGTGGAAGTTAAATCCTAGTGAGGAAAACAGAAAGGAGCATAACTCCAGCAAATGAAGTGTAAAAATAAAATTAGGAAGGCCAAAAAAGAATTTGAAGTACAGCTAGCCAAAGACTCAAAAAGTAATAGCAATTCTTTTTTTTTTTTTTAAGTACATCAGAAGCAGGAAGCCTGCTAAACCACCAGTGGGGCCACTGGACGACTGAGATGCTAAAGGAGCACTCAAGGACGATAAGGCCATTGTGGAGAAACTAAATGAATTCTTTGCATCAGTCTTCATGGCTGAGGATGTGAGGAAAATTCCCAAACCTGACCCATTCTTTTTAGGTGACAAATCTGAGGAACTGTCCCAGATTGAGGAGTCCTTAGAGGAGGCTTTGGAACAAATTGATAAAGTAAACAGTAATAAGTACCAGGACCAGATGGTGTGAAATTGCAGGACTACTACCTGTAGTCTGTAACCTATCTTTTAAATCAGATTCTGTACCAAATGACTGGAGGATAGCTAATGTGATGCCAATTTTTAAAAAGGGCTCCAGAGGTGACCATGGCAATTACAGGCCGGTAAGCCTGACTTCAGTACCGGGCAAACTGGTTGAAACTATAGTAAAGAACAAAATTGTCAGACACATAGATGAACATAATTTGTTGAGGAATAGTCAACATGCTTTTTGTAAAGGGAAATCATGCCTCACCAATCTACTAAAATTCTTTGAGGGGGTCAACAAGCATGTGGACAAGGGGGATCCAGTGGATATAGTGTATTTAGATTTTCAGAAAGCCTTTGACAAGGTCCCTCACCAAAGGCTCTTAAGCAAAGTAAGCAGCCATGGGATAAGAGGGAAGGTTCTCTCATGGATTGATAACTGGTTAAAAGATAGGAAACAAAGGGTAGGAATAAATGGTCAGTGTTCAGAATGGAGAGAGGTAAATAGTGGTGTCCCCCAGGGGTCTGTACTGGGCCCAGTAGTATTTAACAGATTCATAAATGATCTGAAAAAAGGGGTAAACAGTGAGGTGGCAAAATTTGCAGATGATACAAAACTACTCAAGATAGTTAAGTCCCAGGCAGACTGCAAAGATCTACAAAAGGAGCTCTCAAAACTGGGTGACTGGGCAACAAAATGGCAGATAAAATTCAATGTTGATAAATGCAAAGTAATGCACATTGGAAAACATAATCCCAATGATACATATAAAATGATGGGGTCTAAATTAGCTGTTACCACTCAAGAAAGAGATCTTGGAGTCACTGTGGATAGTTCTCTGAAAACATCCACTCAATGTGCAGCGGTAGTCAAAAAAGCGAACAGAATGTTGGGCATCATTAGGAAAGAGATAGATAATAAGACAGAAGATATCATATTGCCTCCATATAAATCCATGGTACGCCCACATCTTGAATACTGCATGCAAATGTGGTCGCCCCATCTCAAAAAAGATATATTGATATTGGAAAAGATTCAGAAAAGGGCAACAAAAATGATTAGGGGGATGGAACGGCTGCTGTATGAGGAGAGATTAATAGGATTGGGACTTTTTCAGCTTGGAAAAGAGATGACAAGGGGGGATATGATAGAGGTCTATAAAATCATGACTGGTGTGGAGAAAGTAAATAAGGAAGTGTTATTTACTCCTTCTCATAACACAAGAACTAGGGGCCACCATATGAAATTAACAGGCAGCAGATTTAAAACAAACAAAAGGAAGTATTTTTTCCACACAGCGCACAGTCAACCTGTGGAACGCCTTACCAGAGGATGTTGTGAAGGCCAAGACTATAACAGGGTTCCAAAAAGAACTAGATAAATTCATGGAGGATATGTCCATCAACGGCTATTAGCCAGGATGGGCAGGGATGGTGTCCCTAGCCTCTGTTTGCCAGAACCTGGGAACATGCGACAGGGGATGGATCACTTGATGATTACCTTTTCTGTTCATTCCCTCTGGGGCATCTGGCAATGGCCACTATCGGAAAACTGGATACTTGGCTAGAGGGACCTTTGGTCTGACCCAGTATGGCTGTTCTTATGTTAAGTATGAACAGAAAGCTCAAAGTATATTTTTATTGTATTTTAAGTAAATAGGACCCCCAAAGCCTACTGTAACATGGGAACAATGCTAAAATTCAGTACCTAAAAACTCAGGTGGATATTTGGATTGCAGATAAATTAAAATGTAACATCAAAAATAAATATCACTATATTTAGTGATAAAGTCAAGAATCTAGGCACATGGTCTATTTCTGTACAGATGATCAACATGAATTAAATTAATACTTAATTGAATTCTTAGCAGTTTTTTGTTGGGTAGATCTGTTTTGATGGTCTTGCTTAAATAAACTGCAGGGCCAGTTCAAGGTCTCATATACCTGCCAGACCATATATTATTCTGATCTTAGTAAGAAAGACCATACCTAATTGATCATGAGGAGTGCCTTTAAATATAATTCTGTATGTGGTAAGGAACAAAGCTCCTTCTGCTGGGAGAATATGGGGACCTCCGAGCAATCCTCCTGTTGCTTCCTCTCTCCCATCAGGATCCAGCAGCACACGGAGACCATCACACACAAACTCTTCTCCTGGCAGCAAAGCTGGTCGCAGAATCTTAGGCTGAGACCAAATATAAGAATTTTAAATGTAAGTATAATGTACAGTATAACACTGCAATCTACCAAATTGGTATTTGACATGAAAAAATTTAATTTCAAAACTGTTGAGACTGACTCTGCGAGAACCTGAGTTTGGACTCAACTCAATGAAATTGGTCTTAAGTAGTTGGCATGCAACCACTTCTTTATGTTCCGAGATTTGGCTCTGCTACTTTCACAAGTTCATATTTAATGAGACCAAAGCCAAACAATTTATTTATCACTGGTGGAAAATTTCTTGATTATACTGTTCAGTGATCAGATATCTCTTCATAATATTAGAAAAAGGAAGGCTGAAGCCACGTCAAACTGTGTACGATTCCAATACGTGTAACCAATACAAACATCTTTTATAATACTTACCTTCTGTATTGGTGGTAGTCTTCTACTCTCTCGATGGACGGCCTCCAGAGTCTCAATGTGCATTGCTACAATCCCTGGGAATCAGTGACACCATAAATTAAACCTCACACAATATAAGAAAGAGTAAAACAAACTAAATATAACTCCACGGTTTTGAAATCCTAGAGTTAAACTGTCAAGGAAAAACAGCGTAGATGTCATCAATGGCTATTTGGAATTCATCAATGATTACAGTCTAGGAAACAAACCCATGAACTATACTGAAAACAACAAACCAAAAATACACTTCTACTGGAAAATATCAGTTCCCAGAGAAAGAAGTGACAATTTTGCAAATTTACATTTTTTTTAACCAGTTCTTACCTGGTATCATGCAATGAAGGCTCTTGATGTGATCCTGTGTAACTCCACTCTCTGTACATACTTTGTCTATAAACCTGGTGATGAAGCGCACAACTGCATTGGCAATATCATTGTTCTCAGAGTCTTCAAACCCACTTTCGGTGTCATAGCTCTCTGCAACACTGCCGGCAATACTACAGAAGAAAAGGAAAAAAACTGCTAGTGTAAAAAAATCCAGTTAGCTAACCATAATACACAGAGAATAACTACCATATATTTTTTGTCTAATGAGTCTGCTGTATTCAGTGTAGCTAAATATATAGTTCACTTTGCCTCTACACTTCAAGCACAGTTTCAGATACTAACAATATAAACACCAGTGTATGCTGGTGCCACGTTTACAATAGCACTCCCACTGCTGGAGCTGCATTGGTGAATAAATAAGGTAGAAAACAAGTCTGGTATAGACAGGAACAGTTCCTTAAAAAGGAAAATCCTTTTAAGTCTGGTCCCATGTCTCCTCTTCATTATACTTCGCATCAGTCACAGTCTGTAATCCATGCTCAACAAAGAGAAGGATACTGACCCTGTGCAGTAACTGTGGTTCTTCAAGATGAGCATCTCCGCGTGTGCGCCACTCTAGGTGTGCATGCGTCTCATGAGCCTCAGATAGGAGATTTTAGGTAGCAGTGCCTGTTCAGCCCGCACATGCAGCCCATACAGTCTCATGCTCTGCGCCATAGCCATACAGAGCTGTGCAGGTGAACTGCCCTCAGTTCCTTTTTTTCCAGCCGAATTCCATCACAAAGAATTCGGAAGCAGAGGAGATAAGGGCAAGTAGTGGAGCACCCATAGGGACAGTCTGCTTCTCAAGTGTTTCTTGCTCTTTCTTGGCTGTGGTGAACAGGTCTTCTGCGTGATGCCCCAACATCAAAATAAGCAGTGGAGTGTAATGGGCTCTATCTCCCATTTGTGATCCTGTGAGAAGTGCCTACTGAGGGTATCTGCTGTGATGTTTTGCATGCCAGGAAAGTAAGCTGCTGAGATGCTGATCTGATGTAGAATGCACCAATTCCAAAGCCTCACTGCTCCAGATCAGAGGAAAGATGATCTCGCTCCCCCCTTGATGCCACATTGATGTAAGCTTCTATGAACTCCAAACTTTGCACTGGGGTTAAGGTGGACTTTTGGATGTTTAATTGTAGTCCCAGTTTGAGAAATAGGTCTATGGCCCTCTGAGTGGCCAGTGAGACTTCATTGTAGGAGAGTCCCTTGAGCAGCCAATCATCAAGGTATGGGAAAATCAGAATTCCTCGTCTGTGAACACGAGGAGCCATCACTGAGAGAAATTTTTAGAACACTTTGGGTGCAGAGGAGAGACCGAATGGGAAAGCCTTGTATTAAAAATACTCTTGATGGAGAGCAAAGCGTAGGAAGCTTCTGTGGAAGGGGTGAATTGCTATATGAAAGTAAGTAGGTCAAGAGCCGAGAACCAACCCCCTTTGTCCAGTGATGGAATTATTGCTGCAAGAATTACCATCTTGAATTCTGAATCTTTGCAAATCTGTTAAGTAATCTTAGATCCACAAAGTATTTCCAGCCACAATTCTTTTTTGGAACCAGGAACTACCTGGAATAAAACTGCGTCCCTCTGTGTTGCAGAGGAACTGGTTCTATAGCACCCAAATTCAGGAGGAAGTCTATTTCCTGTCATCGGAGGTACTTGTGAGAGGGGTCCCTGAAGAGGGATAGGGAAGTGGGGTGGGATGGCCGGAGGGAAGTAAAGTGGATGGAGTATTCTGTTGAAATGATCTCCAAAGTCCCCATGTCCATAGGGATATGTTCCCAAGCTCAGTGGAAGTGAGAGAGATGGTCACCAAAGCGAGGGAGACATGCAGATTGTTGAAGTAGGTATGAGTGGGACTGGTAACTGAAAACCTCGACCACCCTGTCAAAATTGGTGTGTCAAAATTGTGGGTTGTCAGGTCAATGCCTGAGAAATAGGTGGTCTCTTCTTTTGGAACTGTTGTCTCTTATGCTGGAGTATGTAAGGTACTTGGGAGGCAAGTAGGGTGACCCAATGTCCCGATTTTATAGGGACAGTCCTGATTTTGGGGTCTTTTTCTTATATAGGCTCCTATTAACCCCCCCCCTCGTCCCAATTTTTCACATTTGCTGTTTGGTCACCCTAGAGGCAAGAAACAGAGTGGGACAAGATCTCTGTGCTGTCTGGGACTTACGAAACTTTCTTTTTTGTGAAAGGGTGTAAATTCCCAGAGAACGCAAGTTGAGCCTGAGTCTTTCAAGGTATGCAGGGACTTGTCTGTCTTTTTCGCAAACAGCTTCAATCCATTGAAAGGAAGATCCTCAATTGTATTTTGGAATTTCCCTGGAAGCCCCGAGAGCTTCAGCCAGGAGGCCCTCCTCATTACTACCACTGTGGAGATAGAACAAGCTGCTGTATCAGTGGCATCCAAAGAGGCCTGCAGTGATGTCCTGGCCAGCAGCTGACCCTCTGCAATGATTGCCTGAAATTGTTCCCTCTGCTCTGATGGAAGATTCTCAATAAAGGAATTAAACTTCAAATAGTTAGTATTTCACCACGAGGGCTGGGTAGGTGGTGATCTTAAATTATAGAGTACCCCACAAACATGATTTAAGGCCAAATAAGTCAAGATGATTTTGGTCTTTGACATATGGTGTTGATTTAGCGTGCTGCTGTCTTCCACATTTGTTTACAGTGTTAACCACAAGGGCGTTGTGGGAGGGATGCGAAAATAAAAATTCAGAGTCCTTAGAGAGAACATATTTTTTATCCACCCTCTTACAGGTAACATAAGAACATAAGAATGGCCCTACTGGGTCAGACCAAAGATCCATCTAGCCCAGTATCTGGTCTTCTGACAGTGGCCAATGCCAGGTGTCCCAGAGGGAATGAACAGAACAGGTAATCATCACGTGATCCATCCTCTGTCTCTCATTCCCAGGTACGCTGTATTGTAGCTGATATGCCAAATTATTTCTGAAGGGTCTAGCAGAGCCTCATTAATAGGCAGCACAATGTGAGCAGATGATGTTGTAGGCAGGATGTCAAGCAGTTTATACTGTAACTCCTTAACCTCCTCAAGTAGAATTTGCAAGGAGTCTGCTATACTTTTAATGAGGTCCTTGAACTGTTTGAAATCATCTGCTAGAGGAAGCATAATGACATCATCTGGGGATGAGGAAGAGATAGTTGTTGGAATGACCTCTTTGTCCACTCACTTCCTGCTCCTCAAAGGTCTCTTCCTGTGGATCGGGCACCCTAGAGACAGAGGCTGGTGGGGATTATTTGCCCTTCTCCCAGCAAGAAACACTAGGGGTCCTGTAGAATTGTTGTAATTAAGCTGCTCAAGGGTCCCAGTATAGTCAATGAGATGGTGCATATGGCATGGGTGGGAGGTGCCCAAGGGTGTCCATACCAGTGGGATGGAGTATGAGGATGTCTTTCAAGAAGTTGTTCTGATTCCCTGGAGGTCTCAGGAAAGAAGGTCCCCTGATAACGGAAAGGAGAGCCATGGACAGAAATCTGGGAGACTGATGAAAAGTCCCCATCATCTTCCTCATTGTCACTTCGTCAGGGATGGACACCCTTAGAGATAGGTGTAGACTCCATCGGTACCAGGTAAATGTCCAGAGAGCAAGAGGTCCTCAATATCGAGAATGGATTGGTGCCGAACAAAGGAGATTCAGATGTTTGTGTTACTGCCAGGTCCCCCAGGAATCAAAACTCTTGCAGTACTGAAACATTGGTTGGTGCCAAAAAGGCAGCCTAGGCAGAGGTAACTGTGGCAGAAGGAATTGATGGTACTGAAGGTCTTATGCACTATGATGATTGACCAGTAGGTGTTGTCTAGTCTTCTGCAGTGCCGAAATGCTAGGTACTCAGGGCCTGGTAGACTCTGTCAGTACCAGAAGAGCTGATCTTTTTCTCCCTGCTGTTCCAATCACAGACAGTACTGATCTTCCGGAGCTAGAACCCTTAGAGTCCTTGGCCTTGCTGGTGCTCATGGTACCTGAAGAACCTGCAGCCACGTGGGTACCAAGCTGGAGACCGGTAGGTGTCGAAATGGTTGTCTGAACCGGAGACAATCTCTTTGAGGTAAATTCTCTACCCAGAGGGCTTGAAGACTGCTTCCTATAGTCCTTTTGAGAGGATTCCAGAGACGACGACTTCGATGCTCAAGGGGATGCGCCGAGGAGGCTGAGGCAGCTGACTTGCTTGAAGTTCATTGTACAGGGTGGGGTCCATTGGTTGGAGTCAGAAGCTGGCCAGAGAGAACTCTCCATCATGAGGAGACATAACTTAGGTTCCTGTTCTTTCTTGCTCTTAATTATAATGCCAAGCAGGAATTACACTTTTGGGGAATGTGTGACTCCCCAAGGCAACGGACATGCCGGGAATGTCTGTCACTCACCAGGATCACCTTCCAGCATGAAAGACAGCATTTCCAATCGGGAGAACTGGGCATGCGCTCCCAGTGTTTAAGTTCCCCTGAGAGGCAAAAAAAGCTAAAAGGACAACGATCCTTACACTTATAAATTAACTCTCTCTCTCTCCCTCCCCCCTTCTCTCCACCCCCATCTCTATATATAATTTTTTATTTTTTTAAAAAAATTATATAATTACAACTAACTAATACAAAGCTAACACTAAGGACTAACATTAATTAACTAGTAGATAAGAGAAAGGTAAGCTCAACTTGGACACTGCTGAGGTGCCATCACAGGCCGAGGTGGCCGAGAAGGAACGGAGGGTGGCTCACCTGTACAGCATGCGGCTGCATGGGCTGAATGGCACTGCTACCTAAAATCTCCAATCTGAGGTGCATGCGCACCTAGAGTGGAGCGCCCATACAGACACTACTCGAAGAACAATAATAAATTACATTAAAAAAAACCTACATTCAAAGAACAATTAGATTGCAAAGGCAAATATTCAGAAATTATTAAGTGCCAGAATGAAGGTGGAAATTTAATTCACTTCCCTTGTGCATATGAATTACATTCTTTAATCATATATTGTTTTTTCCACTGGACTCCTGCCTCATACAATGGATGGTGCTCAGGTAATTAATCAGGGTTGTGTAGTGAGTGAGGCTGTTTGTAGGACCCCAGACTCAGTTGTTGTGGAAGTTGGAAGGTGTGTACTGACTAAGGCAAGGGATTGCAGGAAGATAAAGAATGGTCTCCTGGTACAGGCAGTTGACTACTACGCTGGAGAATTGGATTTCACCTCTGACACTGCTATACAGTTCCTGTGAGATGCTAGGCAAGTCACTTACACCAAATGTTTCACTGGTGGTCACTAACTGTGTTCCTCACAACTTGACACAGTAGCGGCTTAATTTGCAGAAGGGCTGAGTACTCAAAACTGCAAGTGAAGATACTGTAATGGAAGCAGGTTTTCAACATATAAAGAACTCCTTTGTCTAGAATGATAATACTAAGTGTCCTAATTTATCAACAAGTCTGACTGCCCCTATGAAATGCATGTCATTTTAAGTGGTAGCAAACAATCCCTTATATGTGAGATGGTTGCCTTTCCCCAAGAAATGGCATACAAAATAAGAATTCAAATAATTTGTATTTTGTAGCTGTTCTACGGAGTTAAGAAGAAAAGGAAGGTAGGGTAGGTGAAAAAAGAAGAATGAAAATTGAACTTAAAATTTCTATGTAGACTGTAAGTAACTATGCAAATTTTAAAGTAAAATTGTACATTCTCTTCAGCAGCAACATGGAGTTGCCATTCAGCTTTATCTCCTTTAGTATCAAACCACCACATACTTACCACACAATCAGCAATCATTTAAACAATGCCCAAAGGACAAGTACTGCATACAGATTTACCTATTCTCACTGAAGTATGAGAGGATGACACTGGAAAGATATTGTGCAACTACTACTTATGTTTCAGCCTTTGGATCATTCAAGAGCTCCAATCTGTGACACTCCTATCATCTCACTATCTAGTCATTAAACAAAAACATTTGAAAATGTCATATTTATGATGATACTTGAGAAGATAACTTGGTTTTGTTGGTTTGGGCATTTTACAGAATAAACAACAGAGACACCAACAAATATTTCCAGACTGGACGATGAATGTAAAACTGATTGTGAATTTCTTAAATGACTGCAAGTTACATGATTTCCATAGCCAGCAAAATATCAATCTACACTTCTATTTTACTAGTTCAAAATGTTACTGGTTTTCTCCTAGTCCTGTTGAAGACAATATGAATTTTGCCAATGACCTACTTCTTAAAGTCCATTTAAATGTACATGGAATCATTTTCAATATTTGCTAGCAAAAAGGCAATTTAATAATTATTACACTCTTTTGGTCAAATTTTGATCAATTCAAAGAAAGGAAGAAAAGAGAGTAAGGGTGAGAGCACTTTACCTAAATAAATACCTAGATAAGCATTTAATGTATTTTCAGTGTATATTTCAGACTCCCTGTCACTAATGGCTACTCCTGACCCCAAAATCTATTATAACTAAGGAGCTAATTGCTACTTCTAGAGGATATGATTTTGTTTATGTTGGTACTAAAGTGCACAGGGAAAGAGTTTTCTTCCTTATTCCTCAATAAAAATGAAAAAGTATCATGTTACATGAGAATGACCATGCTAAGCTTCTGGCCTCCTTAATATATTGCTCCTGAATCAGTTATCCCAGAAAGAAAAGGTGCACACAGTAGAATTTCTCTGATGCCTTTGAGATTATTTGAAAACAATGTTTTAGGTACTTGAGACGGGGCTGAGCCTTGTTATATCACATTCCCTTTATTTCTTGCACAGTCTTATATGCTCTGTGAACATTTATTATAATATTTTACCTAACACCTGTTATTGGAAAGGTCATAAAATGCTTTACAAATTTCGATCAGCAAGGTGCTCTGCACAGGTGGACCCCTGTGCTTGCATAGAACTTCACTTACTTCACCAGGACTTTGTGTATTTAGAGCAGTTTGCAGGATTAGGACCTTAGGCTAACGTACAAAATGCACAGAATGATCACATCATCCACTACTGAATTGCCTTACAGCCTTAATTGCTACCAAAGGAAATATTGCTTTGCTGGCATAAAGTTTTTAATAGCTCAATACTCTGAAATTGCTTAGGAAGTAAGGATTTCTGTGCATTGTGTCAAAGGAGAAAATGGCACTTTTTGGATGATATTAAAACATTATGTTGATATTACTGGTATTATGAATTCAGAGCACTGCAAACTGAACAGTAGGTTAGAAAGAATATCAGCAGGAATTACAATTCCAAAGGTCCTTATTTTTACATTGTTACAAAGGTTGTTAACATAGGACATGAACTTCCATTATTGTAAAGTGCTCCTGCATTCAATTTTTATAATTAATACAGTATTTTTATTAAAAGGACTGAGTTACATCCCACAATTGCTTACTACCAAACCATGTCTTTTCATCTACGCACCTATTTGTGACAATGCTGTTGCTTCCACTCTCCCAGTCTCCTGTAGCTGATGTTCTCAATAGTTTGTTTTTACTTGTGTCCAGTGGCACTAGCAGGTAGACCATGAGGTTAGCAAAATGAATTGCCTGACTGAAAACTGTACTTTCCTCATTCTGTATTAGCTCCTGCTGAGTTTCTTTATTGAGTGTTGGCCATAAACGCAACTGCTCAGCAGCCAGGTCCATGGCTGTTTTTTCCTGGTCCAGACCTACAGAATTTTTCTCCTAGAATAAACATTGCCACATAAAAACAATAGATGATAGAGTTATATTACTAACATTAAGAAAAGAGATATTAACATTAATTCCAAAGTGTTGAATCTTCATTTCATTATATAAAATGTAAAAAAAAAATAAGAATAATCTAACACTTATATCTACTTATAATAGGACTTAAGGATTGCATCCTTAAGTGAATTAAGGTATTGTACGGAAATAATGCAAATAGCATAGTATAGCCAAGTTCAATTTAATAATTTGATTCAGTTCTAGTGTTTTCTAGCCCATACTATCTTTGGGTATTCATTTTTTGCTGAGTTGGGTTTAACAGTCTATTATATAGCTGTTCCTTTCAGCTTGCAGAGTCTTAACTCAGGCAGAGATCAAGCTTGAATTGGATGGAGAAATAAGATGCAGCTAATTGCCTGACAGATGATTTTGTCCAAAGTCCTCTAACATTCAGGTGAGGCTTGTGTAGATATAAATAAAAAATGGTTACTCACCTTCTTGTAACTGTTGTTCTTCGAGATGTGTTGTTCATGTCCATTCCAACCAGGTGTGTGCACGCTGCGTGCACGCCAGCCGGAAGATTTTTCCCTTAGCAGCGTCTGTAGGGTCATCCTGGGCGCCCCCTGGAGTTGCGCCTTCATGGCGCCCAATATAGGACCCTGCCGACTCCCCACCCCCTCAGTTCCTTCTTGCCGGTTACTCCGACAGAGGGGTAGGAGGGTGGGTATTGGAATGGACGTGAACAACACAACACATCTCAAACAACAGTTATGAGAAGGTGAGTAACCGTTTTTTCTTCTTCGAGTGCTTGTTCACGTCCATTCCAACCAGGTGACTCACAAGCCAAAGTTCAGGAGATGGGGTCGGAGTCATCCACTGATTGGAGCACAGCTCGTCCAAAGGCCACATCGTCTCTGGCCTGCTGTGTGATCGCATAGTGCGTCATAAACGTGTATCGAGGACCACGTCGCCGCTCTGCAGATCTTCTGGATGGGGACCTGCGCCAGGAATGCAGCTGAGGAGGCCTGAGCCCTGGTGGAGTGAGCGGTGATCAGCGGAGCCGACACCTTCGCCAGGCCATAACACTCCCAAATGCAAGACGTGATGCATGACGAGATGCGCTGGGATGAGACGGGGAGGCCCTTCATCCTCTCCGCCACCGCTATGAATAACTGGACAGACTTTTGGAACGGCTTAGTTCTCTCTATATAGAAGGCCAGCTCTCTGCGGATATCCAATGAGTGAAGCCTTCGCTCCCTGTCGCAGGAATGTGGCTTAGGATAAAACACTGGGAGGAAGATGTCCTGGTTCATGTGAAACTGGGAGACAACTTTAGGGAGAAAAGCTGGGTGTGGTCTGAGCTGTCCTTATGAAATACTGTGTAAGGGGGCTCGGATGTAAGTGCCCTGTGCTCCGACACTCTCCTAGTTGAGGTTATCGCCACCAGGAACGCCATCTTGTAAGAGAGATAAAGCAGGGAGCACATCGCCATTGGCTCAAATGGGGGGCCCGTAAGTCTGGCGAGGACCAGGTTAAGGTCCTAGGCTGGGGCAGGCTGCTGAGTTTGCGGGTAGAGCCTGTCAAGCCTTTGAGGAAACAGGTAACCATGGGGTTCGCGAAGACCAAGAAGCCGTCTGCGCCCAGATGGAAGACGGAGATGGTGGCCAAGTGGACCCTTATTGACGACAATGACAGAGCCTGTTGTTTAAGATGGAAGAGGTAGTCCAGTATGAAAGGGACTGGGGCGAGCGTCAGCGACTGATGCTGCTGCTGCTCCGACCAGAGACAGAACCTCTTCCACTTGGCAAGGTACGTTGCCTTTGTAGAGGGCTTCCTACTGCCAAGGAGAACTTGTCTGACTTGATCAGAACAGGACAGTTCCATAGCATTTAGCCATGGAACATCCAAGCTGCGAGGTGGAGCGACTCTAGGTTTGGGTGCCGGAGGCGGCTGTGATCCTAAGTGATCAGGTCCGGGACCAACGGCAAGGTGAGTGGGGTCACCACAGACATTTCTGGGAGTGATGTGAACCAGTGCTGGCATGGCCATGCCGGAGCTATCAATATGACCCGGTCCCAGTCTCTGTGGACCTTGAGGAGCACCTTGTGGACCAGCGGTATTGGTGGGAAGGCGTAGAGCAGACGGTCCCCCCACAGAAGAAGGAAGGAATCCACGATGGAACCCGGACTGTGATTCACGAAGGAGAAAAATAGTTGACACTTCCTGTTGCTGCGCGTGGCGAACAGGTCTATCTGGGGAAAGCCCCAGAGATGAAAAATTGAGCTCACTACGTCCGGCCGGAGGGACCACTCGTGGCTGTGAAAAGTTTGGCTGAGGTTGTCCGCCAGCTCGTTCTGCACCCCAGGAAGGTATGAAGCCTGCAGGTGTATCGAGTGCTCTACACAAGTCCTACAGCATGAGGGCTTCCCGGCACAGGTGAGAGGAGCATACACCCCCCTATTTGTTGATATAAAACATCGTCGTGGTGTTGTCCATGAGGACTGATATTCTGAAAACCTGGCATGCCAGACACACCGCTCTCAGCTCTCTGACGTTGATATGCTGAGCAAGGTCTGCCTGAGACTAGAGGCCCTGAGGTCTCCCAAATGTCCCCCCAGCCCAGATCCGAGGCATCTGTCATTAATGAAAGGGATGGCTGGGAGCTGGTGAAAGGTACTCCCACACAAACCACCTGTGGGTCGGGCCACCAAAGGAGGGAGTCCAGTACAGGGCAGGGCAGGGCTGTCCAGAGAGTCCCGGACAGCCCTGATAAATCGACGCCGGCCATGACTGAAGTGGGCGAAGTCTGAGTCTGGAATGCTGTATTACGTAGGTGCACGCAGCCATGTGCCACAGCAGGTTCAGGCAGTTCCTTGCTGTAGTCGTAGGGAACTGTCTGAGGCCCCGTATGATGTCCCCTAGAGACTGAAACCTGGTTTCCGGGAGGTACGTCCTGGCTTAGGTCGAGTTCAGCACTGTGCCTATAAACTATCCTCTGCACCGGGGACAGAGTGGATTTGGCCTCGTTGAAAAGGAGACCTAGTTCAAGGAAGGTCCTTCTTATGAAGCCGACCTGGTCCTCCACTTGGGATCTGGAGTGGCCTTTGATCAGCCAGTTGTTGAGCTAAGGGAAAACCTGAATCCGGCGCTTGCACAGGAACACTGCGACGACTGCCATGTATTTGCTGAAAACACAAGGTGCTGCCGACAGGCCAAAAGGGAAGATGGTAAACTGATAGTGGCTGTTGTTCACCACAAATCTGAGGTAACGTCTGTGAGGAGGAATTATTGCTATGTGGAAATCAGTGTCTTTAAATCGAGGGCAGCGTACCAGTCTCCTGGATCCAATGATGGGATAATGGAAGTCAGCAAGACCATGAGGCACTTGAGTTTCTTTACGAACATGTTGAGCTGCTGCAGGTCCAGGATGGGTCTGAGGCCACCCTTGGCTTTCGGTATTAGGAAATACTGAGAATAGAAACCCTTGCCCCCGAGGAACCTCTTCCACTGTCCTTACCGAGAGGAGGGAGTGCACTTCCTGAATTAGAAGTTGCTTGTGAGAGGGGTCCCTGAAGAGGGACAGGGAAGGGGGGTAGAAGGGCACAGAATTGGATGGAATATCCCCTCTCTACTGTGCAGAGCACCCAACAGTCTGAGGTGATACGGAACCAAGCACGGTAGAAAGGGGATAGATGGGATGAGAAGGTAAGAGGGGATAGATCCAGATTCTGAACTGGTGAGCTGTCCTCGACCACACCTTCAAAAGGCGGGGGGAGGGGGGGTCTGGGGCCAGCCGAAGGCTTGGGCTGACCAGAGGCTCTGCCCCGAGGAGGGGTGCTGCCTCCTCCCTACTGCTCCTATTCCTCCTTCGAGAAGCGTCCTGGTGGTTCTGAATCTGATAGAACCTAGGGGTAGGCTGAGGTCTGAAATGCCTACGCTGAGTAGCTGGTGTGTGAAGCCCCAGAGATCATACGATGGCCCTTGAGTCCTTCAGACTATGAAGTCTCTTGCCAATTTTATCAGAAAACAGGGTTGAGCACTCGAAGCGGAGGTCCTGGATCGTTTGTTGGACCTCATGTGGTAGTCCAGAGACCTGCAACCAGGAGACCTGCCTCATTACCACCCCTGTGGCCAGTGTGCGTTAGGCTGCATCTGCCGCGTCCAAAAGCCGCCTGTAGGGAAGCCCGGAAGATCAGCTTTCCCTCCTCCTCTAGTGTGGAGAACTCCGTGCAAGAGTCTTGTGGCAGGAGCTCCACAAACTTGGCCATCGCAGTGCAAGTATTGTGCGCATATATGCTTACGATGGCCTGCTGGTTTGCGATGTGGAGCTGTAGGCCCCTGTTGAATAGACCTTCCTGCCAAACAGGTCGAGTTTCGTCGCCTCCTTATTTTTTGGGATGGGACCTTGGAAGCCTTGACGTTCCTGCTGATTGGCTGCATCAACCACCACCGAGTCAGGGCGTGGGTGGGTATATAAATGTTCATACCCCATAGATAGTATGAAATAGTGCCTTTTGTTTCTCTTGGCCATAGGGGCCAGAGAAGCAGGGGTCTGCCACAGGGATTCAGTGGTATCAACTACTGTCTTTATCAGTGGCAGAGCTACCCGTGATGGACCCGAGGGTGCGAGGATATCCACGACTGGGTCCGACTCCTCCACCTCCACTGCCTGTATGCCCAGGCTTTGGGCAGCCCAGCGCAGGAGCTGCTGGAGAACCCGATTATCCTCCAGAGCTGGTGCCGCTGATGCCCCCGCGACTGCTTTATCTGGCAAGGATGATTCTCATAGACTCATAGACTCATAGACTTTAAGGTCAGAAGGGACCAATATGGTCATCTAGTCTGACCCCCCGCATGATGCAGGCCACAAAAGCTGACCCCCCCACTTTCCCTTAACTCTGCTGTTGAAGTCTCCAGATCGTGATCTAAAGACTTCAAGTCGCAGAGAATCTTCCAGCTTGCGACCCCTGCCCTATGCTGCGGAGGAAGACGAAAAACCTCCAGGGCCACTGCCAATCTACCCTGGAGGAAAATTCCTTCCCGACCCCAAATATGGCGATCAGCAGAACCCCGAGCATACAGGCAAGATTCTCTAGCCAGACCCTCATTTTACCAGCGATGGCCGTTATTGCCTAATTGATTAGAATCACGTAATCCCATCAAACCATTCCCTCCATAAACTTATCTAGCCTAATCTTGAAGCCAGAGAGGTCTTTCGCCCCCACCGTTTCCCTCGGAAGGCTGTTCCAAAATTTCACCCCTCTGACGGTTAGAAACCTTCGTCTAATTTCAAGCCTAAATTTCCCCACGGCCAGTTTATATCCATTAGTTCTCGTGTCCACATTAGCACTCAGCTGAAATAATTCCTCTCCCTCCCTGGTATTTATCCCTTTGATATATTTAAAGAGAGCAATCATATCCCCCCTCAGCCTTCTTTTGGTTAGGCTAAACAAACCAAGCTCCTCGAGTCTCCTTTCATAGGAAAGGTTTTCCATTCCTCGGATCATCCTAGTTGCCCTTCTCTGTACCCGTTCCAGTTTCAGTTCATCCCTTTTAAACATAGGAGACCAGAACTGCACACAGTACTCCAAGTGAGGTCTCACCAGCGCCTTGTATAACGGAAGCAGCACCTCCCTGTCCCTACTAGAAATACCTCGCCTTATGCATCCCAAGATCGCATTAGCTTTTTTCACAGCCACGTCGCATTGCTGACTCATAGTCATCCTGCGATCAACCAGGACTCCGAGGTCCTTCTCCTCCTCAGTCACTTCTAACCTATGCGTCCCTAGCTTATAACTGAAATTCTTATTAGTCATCCCTAAATGCATCACCTTACACTTCTCACTATTAAATCTCATCCTATTACTATTACTCCAATTTACAAGGTCATCCAAGTCTCCCTACAGAATATCCCGATCCTTCTCTGAGTTGGCAATGCCTCCCAACTTTGTGTCATCCGCAAACTTTATCAGCCCACTCCTACATTTGGTTCCGAGGTCAGTAATGAATAGATTAAATAAAATTGGACCCAGAACTGAACCTTGAGGAACCCCACTGGTGACCTCCCTCCAATCTGACAGTTCACCTTTCAGTACTACCCGCTGCAGTCTCCCCTTTAACCAGTTCCTTATCCACCTCTGGATTTTCCTATCGATCCCCATCTTATCCAATTTAACCAATAATTCCTCATGCGGTACCGTATCAAACGCTTTACTAAAATCGAGGTATATTAGATCCACCGCATTTCCTTTATCTAGAAGGTCTGTTACTTTCTCAAAGAAGGAGATCAGGTTGGTTTGGCACGACCTGCCTTTTGTAAACCCATGTTGTAATTTGTCCCAATTGCCATTCACCTCAAGGTCCTTAACTACTTTCTCCTTCAAGATTTTTTCCAAGATCTTACATACTACAGAAGTTAAACTAACTGGCCTGTAGTTACCCGGGTCACTTTTTTTCCCCTTCTTGAAAATAGGAACCACAACCATATGGAGATGAGGAGATAACTGGCAGCGGACCTTGCTCACTGCCTTCAGCACCCTTTGAGTCTCTTGGCACGCGGTATTCGATGGGATGCGGTGCCGGGGTCGCTGGAGATGGGAGTTTCGGTGCCGTGATTGGTGCGGGAGCTGCTAGATCTGGTGGTGCTGACCTTGTCGACGCTGGGGGGGTAGGAGCTGAAGCCATCGGAGCTGTTGTTTGTAACAGCGGGGCCGGCACTTCGGTCGGTGGTGCCGGCGTTGCTTGAGGTGGAACAAAGGACGCTGAAGACACCGACGCCGACTGGGACCTTGGACCTGACCCTGATGGTAGGCCCATTGAGATGATGGCTGCCACCGCTGCAGCCACGGTGCCAGGTAGGGCTGGTGGCTCCGGCGGGATCTGGATCTCCTGCTCCTGGACCTGCTGGAGCGATAGGAGTCTGCCTCTGTGTACGGGCCATGCCATGGAGAGGTGTGCCGGAGGTGGAGATCAGCACACCATCAGTACTGGTTTGCCCCTAGATTGGAAGTGGGGCCGCGCAGTCACCGGCGACTTGTCCCTCCTCTGTGGGGAAGTAGGCACTGGGAGGCGCATCAGGTCCTTGGCCGCCTCAAACACCTCCAGTGTCGATGGGAGCTGGAGGTAGTCGCCTTGGTGATCCAGGGACCGTGGGGGGTTCGGACTCGACTGGACCCCAGCCTCTTCTTTTTTAGCGGCCCTGGGGATTGAGAGCGGTGCCGCACCGAGGATGGCTTCTTATGGTCCGAGCCAAGACAGTGCTGAGGGGCCTTGGGGTCCTTAGTTGGCACCAGTTCCTGTACCATCAGCGCTGGAGCACTGCGTACCGATGAAGAGGTACTCGGCGCAGGTTTGGTGGATCCGGGGTCGGAGTGTGGTCGTAGCGCCGCCTCCAATAACAGGATTTTAAGTTTCTGCTCCCAGCCTTTAAGGGTTCTGGGTCGGAAACTCTTACAGATCCTGCACCTTTCTCTCTGGTGGCTCTCTCTGAGGCACCGCAGACAGGAAGAGTGAGGGTCACTCCTGGGCATAAACTTGCCACTCCTCACAGAGCTTAAACCCTGGAGATTTGGACATACCCCAGAGGTGGGGAAAATGTTGTCAGGGGGAAAGCCCCCCAAACAAAGCTATTAAAACTGTATCTAACTACTAACCAACTAAAGAACTATTTACACCATATATACACGAAAACTACAGAAGACACTGCCAAAGCACTTGCCACAAGAGCAAGCGATGTTCCAGCTAGCCATCACTGGCGGTAAGAAGGAACTGAAGGGGTAGGGGTCGGCAGGGCACTATATTGGGCGCCATGAAGGCGCGACTCCAGGGGGTGCCCAGGCCAACCTTACGGACGCTGCTAAGGGAAAAATCTTCCGGCTGGCGTGCACGCGGCGCACACACACCTGGTTGGAAAGGACGTGAACAAGCACTCGAAGAAGAATTTATAGCACAGCTTAAATGTTCATGTTTTCACACGCTGGATTCCAATTCAAGCATTTGCTCTCTGTAAACTCAGTAGATGGCACGTAGGCTAATTATATGATAGCCTGAGGAAATTCAAATAAAGACATCTGGTAGCTGATATCACATATCCTCATTTAGCTGAGGATAAAGAATTAAAATAGCAGAGATGTATTCTATGTGGAAATTTTTTTCCAAGTAATTTTCAGTACAATTATGCATTATTTGGGAATGTGAATATGGGTGTCTGCATGTGCCTCCTCCCCTACAGCACCTTCCTTCCCTCTGCAACTTCCCACACACTGCAAGTGGACAAGGGACTTCCTCATTCAGCAATTTTTCCCATCCCCCTGACAAACCACATGACTGGGGGTGCCTTCTCTGCATCTCATTCTTCCCAAGCCCATATGGTTATGTGGAGCTGTACTCTGCAGCTCTCTCTCTTATCATCATATGTCCCTGGTAGTACTTCTCTCTTAAATCACATGATTAGGGATGGTGGTTCTGGGGAGTTCACATAACAGAAGAGGATAGGGATGGCCCAGTAGATCATACCTGGCATGCTGATACACAGCTTGGTGTAACATTCTTATTTTAGTATTTTCTAAATGCACACATCATCCACCCATTCTTCCATTACAGAAACACTTTCCCCCAGCTGGGACAGTGAATTATGTTGTTTGGGAGATATAAATGATCTGAAGCTAAGGGAGCTGAGTGCTGATCAATCGAGAAGGCTAAAACCTGTTTTCCTGCTTAACAAAATGTCTCTGGAATGCAATATAAAGTTTGCATACTATAAATTCACTAAAAATAACCTTTTTTTGCTTAGGAAATTAAAGGAAAATATATGTTAGTGGAATGTTAAAGTTGAAACAGCAATGAAATTCAGAACTTTCCTTCATACCCGGACATAACTCCCTGTGATGGAGACCTTTGGGTATCAGGGAGTAAAAAAAAAAATTTAAAGTTTTATTATTTGTCATTAATCTGTACATAAATCAAGAGCAATATATTGTAAAGTATGTCCACAAGTTATATTTCACAACTTTTCCCCCATAACTTAGATAAATTTCAGATGTAGATTACGGAACAAAGTTAATAACATATCTATTTAATGTGGAAATAGCAACAAGAAAACACTAAATTTGTAGAAGTGGTGAGAGCAATAAACTTACATCTTTATGACTTTTGTTGCATGTAAAATGTCAGCAGTAACATAGTTTTTTTGCACTTCATTTATTTTATATATTCTCTTACCTTTTGCTTCAAACGTATTGTATGATTGTCTTCCCTAGCTGTGAGATAGAGGGAACGAACTTGATTTTGCACATCACTATAAAATGTGGTTTCCCAAAACTGTTGATTAGTCCATATAGAGTGGTCTTGTACACAGGTGTAAGCAAACTGACTAACTCCAGGTGCCAGTTTCTGAAAGCACAGAAATAAGAATATCAGCTAAAATAACCTTCAATGTGTATATTGATATATTTTTACAACAGTGGAATATGCAGGTTCAGTACACTTTATCTATCTTAGAGTTTTGTTTACTTTAAAAGTTGTAGTCTCATAAGATCCATTGCAATGTATCTCTTCAGATCTATAGTAACACGGGAAAAAGAAAAAATACTTACATGTAATTCTGCTTCTTTGAAGATATCATCTCAAAGGATGATTCTCACTCTAGAGTCTCAATCTGCCAGTACAAGACAAGACCTGCTTGGGTTGCACTGGAGGCAAGACTCATGAGTGAAAATCCTGTGATGATGGTATCTTTAAAGAATAATTTTTTAATACAAAATATAGCTTAGTTGCCAAACAGTATGTAATCTTTCACTTTTTATTACTGATATTCTAAAGCCATACAGTATGAATAATGGATCATCAAAGAAGTGTTAGGATATTCCTTCATCCACGTAAAGTTTATTCTGTACTTTATGTATTTCAGAGTAAGAAATGCAATCATGTAATTTCAAATAACCAATATATTAGCAAAATATCAAATTTCCAAATAAAAATCATGGGTTTGAAATTGAACCCTATTCTCCTGGAGTAATGTGATGGAGTGCATTTGGCCTTTAAGGCTCCATCCTGGGGGCCCTGTGGTACTACCTCACTGTGCCCAAAGAAGCAACGGGTTGAGAGGAAAAGAGCAATGAAGATGGGTCCTCCAGATTTGCTTAGAGAGGATTCTTCAGAGCAGCCATTTTGAAAAACACAAGAGACCTGGTCCTCAAAGGGCCAGAAGAGCTAGAAACACTTAATCAGGGTCCTGCTGGACCATAAAAAAAGGAGCTGCCTGGCCTTAGCAGTTCAGTTTCTGTCTGGGACCAGAGGAGTGAAGGAGGGTTCTCCTCTCGAGCCAAAGGAGCCAACTATTAGACAGATTTATAGCTGGCTGAACTTACATAGCTGGGATTGTAGAGAGAGAAGAAACAGAAGACACTGGCCCTGAGAGAGGGCTGGAGTTAAAAGGGCCTGGTATGAAGAAGCCCAGGGAAATATCAGCTAAGGATTCAAGTAAGCAGAACGTGGACTGCTGTGTATAGGATCCCTGGCTTGGAACCTGAAGTAGTGGGTGGGCCTTGATTCTCCTATCAGCCATGGGTAAAGTGTCATAAACGCCAAGAAAGGGAGAGGGCTTATATGGGAGCCCAAACAAAAGGCTGAATTTAAAAGGCCTAGAACTGGGGTTTAAGACCATCACAAGGCAAACAGACTAATACCCCAGAAGGGGTTCATTTGGACTTTGTGATTTAGCTGGCAGCCCCCAGGGTGGGACCAGGGCCAAGAAAAGAACTGTGATACAGCACCCAGCCACTCAAGAGGTGAGTGTCCATTTATAGGTAACTTGTCCGTTTGCCACGAGGGCCTGTTAGTTGGAAATTCTAAATTGGAGGCTGGTGGAAGTAAATATTCTCACCATAAGGTCTAAACTCTTGGCTTCCTTATCCGCAAAGGCAGCTCTCGCATATTGTTGTCTCGACTTTTCCGTGGCTGGTTGGATGACTAGGGAGTTTGGTACAGGATTGGAGAACAAGAACTCTGCTCCCTTAGCTGGGGCAAAATACCGCTTTTCTGCCTTCTTAGGGGTAGAAGCAAAGGTTGCTGGTGTATTCCACACAGTTCTTGCAGGTTCCAGTATGGCCTCGTTGACTGGGAGTGCTGTTTGGCTAGATCCCGTAGGTGGTAGAATGTACACAAGCTTGTGTTGAGAGTCCTCGACCTCATCTAAAGGGATTTGGAGCTCTTCTGCTACTCTCTGAAGCAGCTCTTGAAACGGTCTGTGGTCATCTGAAGGAGATGGCGAGGCAGGAACAAATGCCCCATTGGGGGAGAAAGGAGAAATATTTGCTGGTATTGGTGGTACCAAGGATCCAGTTCATCTTTTTCCTCTTCTGTAAGCTCAGGAGGTTCTGATTGGCCTCTTGGAGGTGGAAAAATTACCTATTGGATCGCATGGATTCTGAATGCCATTCATACAGGTCCCATAGTCCCAGTAAGGCCAATTCGAGGGCTCAAATGTAAGTTGTGATTCCCAAGACATTGTTTCTGAGGATGAGGTTGCCACTTGGATGGATGAGACTGGTAGTAGAAGATTCTCAATCCCCTTTCTGGGCTGAACTCCCTGCTTCTCCACGTGGGCACCAATGATACTGCCAAGAATGACCTTGAGCGGATCACTGCAGACTACGTGGCTCTGGGAAGAAGGATAAAGGAGTTTGAGGCACAAGTGGTGTTCTCGTCCATCCTCCCTGTGCAAGGAAAAGGCCTGGGTAGAGACCGTCAAATTGTGGAAGTCAATGAATGGCTACGCAGGTGGTGTCGGAGAGAAGGCTTTGGATTCTTCGACCATGGGATGGTGTTCCAAGAAGGAGCAGTGCTAGGTAGAGACGGGCTCCACCTAACAAAGAGAGGGAAGAGCATCTTCGCAGGCAGGCTGGCTAACCTAGTGAGGAGGGCTTTAAACTAGGTTCACCGGGGGAAGGAGACCAAAGCCCTGAGGTAAGTGGGAAAATGGGATACCAGGAGGAAGCACGAGCAGGAAAGGGCAAGAGGGGAGGACTCCTGTCTCATACTGAGAAAGCAGGACAATCAGTGAGTTATCTTAAGTGCCTATACACAAATGCAAGAAGCCTGGGAAACAAGCAGGGAGAACTGGAAGTCCTGGCACAGTCAAGGAACTATGATGTGATTGGAATAACAGAGACTTGGTGGGATAACTTACATGACTGGAGTACTGTCATGGATGGATTTAAACTGTTCAGGAAGGACAGGCAGGGCAGAAAAGGTGGGGGAGTTGCATTGTATATAAGAGAGGAGTATGACTGCTCAGAGCTCCGGTATGAAACTGCAGAAAAACCTGAGAGTCTCTGGATTAAGTTTAAAAGCGTGAGCAACAAAGGTGATGTCGTGGTGGGAGTCTGCTATAGACCACCAGACCAGGGGGATGAGGTGGACGAGGCTTTCTTCCGGCAACTAGCAGAAGTTACTAGATTGCAGGCCATGGTTCTCATGGGAGACTTCAATCACCCTGATATCTGCTGAGAGAGCAATACAGCGGTGTACAGACAATCCAGGAAGTTTTTGGAAAGTGTAGGGAACAATTTGCTGGTGCAAGTGCTGGAGGAACCAACTAGGGGCAGAGCTCTTCTTGACCTGCTGCTCACAAATCGAGAAGAATAAGTAGGGGAAGCAAAAGTGGATGGGAACCTGGGCAGCAGTACCATGAGATGGTCGAGTTCAGGATCCTGACACAAGGAAGAAAGCAGAGCAGCAGAATACGGACCCTGGACTTCAGAAAAGCAGACTTTGACTCCCTCAGAGAACTGATGGGCAGGATCCCCTGGGAGAATAACATGAGGGGGAAAGGAATCCAGGAGAGCTGGCTGTATTTTAAAGAATCCTTATTGAGGTTGCAGGAAAAAACATCCCGATGTGTAGAAAGAATAGTAAATATGGCAGGCGACCAGCTTGGCTTAACAGTGAAATCCTTGCTGATCTTAAATGCAAAAAAGAAGCTTACAAGAAGTGCAAGATTGGACAAATGACCAGGGAGGAGTATAAAAATATTGCTCAGGCATGCAGGAGTGAAATCAGGAAGGCCAAATCACACTTGGAGTTGCAGCTAGCAAGAGATGTTAAGAGTAACAAGAAGGGTTTCTTCAAGTATGTTAGCAACAAGAAGAAAGTCAAGGAAAATGTGGGCCCCTTACTGAATGAGGGAGGCAACCTAGTGACAGAGGATGTGGAAAAAGCTAATGTTCTCAATGCTTTTTTTGCCTCTGTCTTCACAAACAAGGTCAGCTCCCAGACAGCTGCACTGGGCAGCACAGCACGGGGAGGAGGTGACCAGCCCTCTGTGGAGAAAGAAGTGGTTCGGGACTATTTAGAAAAACTGGACGAGCACAAGTCCATGGGGCCGGATGCGCTGCATCCGAGGGTCTAAAGGAGTTGGCGGATGTGATTGCAGAGCCATTGGCCATTATCTCTGAAAACTCATGGCGATCGGGGGAGGTCCCGGATGACTGGAAAAAGGCTAATGTAGTGCCCATCTTTAAAAAAGGGAAGGAGGAGGATCCGGGGAACTACAGGACAGTCAGCCTCACCTCAGTCCCTGGAAAAACCATGGAGCAGGTCCTCAAGGAATCAATTCTGAAGCACTTAGAGGAGAGGAAAGTGATCAGGAACAGTCAGCTTGGATTCACCAAGGGCAAGTCATGCCTGACTAACCTAATTGCCTTCTATGAGGAGATAACTGGCTCTGTGGATGAGGGGAAAGCAGTGGATGTGTTATTACTTGACTTTAGCAAAGCTTTTGATACGGTCTCCCACAGTATTCTTGCCAGCAAGTTAAAGAAGTATGGGCTGGATGAATGGACTATAAGGTGGACAGAAAGCTGGCTAGATCGTCGGGCTCAACGGGTAGTGATCAACGGCTCCATGTCTAGTTGGCAGCTGGTTTCAAGCGGAGTGCCCCAAGGGTCGGTCCTGGGGCTGGTTTTGTTCAATATCTTCATTAATGATCTGGAGGATGGTATGGACTGCACTCTCAGCAAGTTTGCAGATGACACTAAACTGGGAGGAGTGGTAGATACGCTGGAGGGTAGGGATAGGATACAGAGGGACCTAGACAAATTAGAGGATTGGGCCAAAAGAAACCTGATGAGGTTCAACAAGGACAAGTGCAGAGTCCTGCACTTAGGACGGAAGAATCCCATTCACTGTTACAGACTAGGGACCGAATGGCTGTAACAGTTCTGCAGAAACTGTTCTGCAGAAAAGGACTTAGGGGTTACAGTGGACGAGAAGCTGGATATGAGTCAACAGTGTGCCCTTGTTGACAAGAAGGCTAACGGCATTTTGGGCTGTATAAGTAGGGGCATTGCCAGCAGATCGAGGGACGTGATCATTCCCCTCTATTCAACATT